TGACGTGCTCAAGCATGTTCAAGAAGTAGGCACTAAGCTTTTGGTGGGCCTTACGAAGCCGCCGTTGCAAGAAACGACTAGACCGGCTGGCCTTGTTCCCACCCTGTTACCGCAGGGAACGGGGTGGTCTCTTACGGGAAGTCCCTGTCCTTAATAACGACTGCGGCAATGATACCTCATATCTCTTCTCCCCAACTTGGATTGATTACCCACGGAGACACTGAAGGAAAAGCTAAAAACTGCAATCGAATCCACATGGCATGACTCCTCGTTTCTTCCATCATATGGTCAACTACATGGACTCCTTACCTCCCCAGGCAGTATTAGCACTGTAGGTCAAAGCGTTCAAGGAGAAAAGAAGTCTTGATAGGGATATCTTCTGCAAGGATTACCATAGGCTCACTTACTACTATCTTTACTATCAAAAACGGAGACTCAAAATCTACTAGTCTCCTTTCTCACACTACTGATTGAAAAATGCCTCATACTTACTTAGAGATGGTTACAAAAGCATGAAGTGTCGGAGACTAACAGAGTTATTCAACAGCTCCGTTGTTACCCCAGCTGCCACACAGAATACAGCCTACAATTTGCAAAATAAATGTTTTCAAATAAACAGTCACCACCAAGGAAATAAGAAAAAGGAACCGGAAATAAAGCTTTCTAAAAAAAATTTTTAAAAATTTAGGAGGGATGATTTTCGAAGGATGTAATCTCACTGTAATTTAGCAATTTAGCTATACTTGCGTGTAATGCAACGATAGCTCCGGTTTTCAGTAGGAGAATTCTCTTGAACTTCCAGTTCGATAAATTTATCCTACTTCTACATGTTTTTTCTGTTTGTACCAGGATAACGAGGCCGTACCTCTGTTTCAGTTTTGGTTTGGTTTCATAACGTTAAGGTTACCACTCTTTTTCAAGTCTTTCTAGAGTTCTTCGGTTGATTTGTTTACCCTTCTTGTACTTTTCACCACAGTGCTGGCCAAGTAGACGTGCAAGGGGCAGGGCTGCAGTCAGCCTGTTGAGGTGGGCATGCAACGTGGCATATGTGATGGGTGGTTCCATGGCGCTTGCACAGACTTGACGCAAACTAGGCGCACCAAACTCAGTAAGCCCGTCCGCAAGTGGCATTGCCGCTTGTGTAGATCTGGACTGGACGATGTTCTTGGGAACATCATTGGCATGTCATCGGAAAAAAAAAGACTGACGTGGACTATAAAAAGGGGAAGCTGGAAAGCTGAAAAGCAGTGCCTAAGCACGAGGGTTATAGAGTTCGAAAATCGACTAGCAGAAAAAGTGCTTAGGTCACTCGACAAGAGCAAGAGACTAGTTCGATGGAGGACGTTATGCACCTCAGTAGTGCAATAACATCAACTGTCTTCCAATGCTTCGCTAGGATTTTGCCTTCAGCAGGTAAGGCGGAAACGAAACTCCCATGCTAAGCAAAGACGCTCAAGACGGAGTGTGGGTATTCACCGTACGAAATTAGAACATTCGAACTTCAACTCCAGTCAAACCCATTGGGTCTGGGAAGGTGGGAAGCACAGGGAACGAGCCCAAGTAGGGTAACCTGGAAATTAGGAAGGCTAAACGTGGGTCTGCAAGGAAGTGGGATGGACAGCAGATCGGGCGAGTCACTCACGAGCTTGTGAATCAGGCAGATGTGTTGCCCGAGAACGAGGGCAATGACGGAGAAAATACGAAAGCTCAACAAAATCGCCCAGACGTCAACAGTTGACCGGGCGGACCACTGTCTGGAATGGTTCTTCGATCATCACGAACCTGACAAACAGCCCTAATCTCCCATACAGCCTTCATGACAAGTGATAGGGTTCTTTGGGAGAGCATACGCGGAAAACTCAAGCTGGACTACACAAAACCATCAGCTGCAACAAGGCCCTGTCGCAGTTCCGAGGGTAAGCCCCGTCTTTTGAGGCTCACATTCTCCAACCCGGTGACGTTGAGGATGTACCCTTAGCATCCCACATGCTAAAAACTGAAGGGGAAGTAAGGATACTGTCAGACATCCCACACTCTGCGAGAAGAACTCTAAAGAACCCTACGGGTGACTGTCGTGACGCCTACCATGAAGGCACTCATGCTCGCCTAATCGGCGTTACCGAGACGGGTTTCTCCTGGCATGTCAGATGGGGAGCCGGCACTTGCCAATACCACGCTGTTTCACCATGACGGAAGGGCTGGCAGGGAGTGGGTGGGCTGTCATTTTACGTTAGCTCCTCTTTTTCAGCCCACTAAATCCATATTTAAGAACTGGAATCCCTTGAGGAGTCTGTTTAGTGCACCAAAAAGCTGTCCAGGAGTATAAAGTGCTTGGCTGGAGTCATTTGTAGGGAGCCATTTGCTGGCTTACAGTGTGGCAACCGGATGCTAGAGACAATCAGTTGCTCTCTTAAGCTGGGGCATACACAAACTGATTTCAGGCGACTTTAACCCTCGGAGGGTCAGCTTTGCAGATCGCACGTTTTCGGGAATAACTATTCCATTGAATCCACATTCTTCCATCTGATAGGTGAGCTGGGGCCTGCGGAAAATATGAGAACTACGGCGCGAGTGAGGGAGACTCAAACCCTATCTTACCCAGACTGCGTCTTCACACATGAAGAATTTCTGACTGACAACTTGGAAATCCTGCCTCCTTTGGGCAGAAGTAACCACGTTGTTATCAGCTTCCATTTTGTCTGCGAAACCAATCTTATCAGATCTCCCAATGGACGTCGTTGGAACTTCAGACGATGTAACACCCCGGCTTTTCTAATCGCGCTGGAACAGAGATTGGGAAGTTAGCCATGTGTGGCAAGATATGAACACCCATTAGAGATTCATACCTGACAAGATCATGCATGCAATCAGTCAGTCTGTTCCACTTTTGAGACCGAAGTGCTTCAGGGCAAAAAAGAAATACACTGGCAAACGCCTATGCTGATGGCACACCACTGAACACAAAGGGATTGGCGCCGAATGTACTTACAGACGATTCAAACGGACAAGAAATGTAAGTACGAAGGCATTGAGCGCCGATCGGAGGCGGCATCAAGTCAGTCTTACAAATATGTTTGTTTCCGACCCGAGGAGTCTGTTCCGCTACTCTGCTTCGTTCCGGCGGGCTAAAGTGGGGTCTCTAAACTACTAGGTGCGAACGAGCTTACTAACAGCGACACTAAAGCATCTGAACTCTTGGCCGAACGGTGCCCGCAAACCTTTTGATCATCGTTCACTCAGGAGCTTACGAATATCCCACCAATGGAGCAGGGCTCTTGGTCGTCGACTTAAACGTTGAGCTAGTACAGCGCAAGCTGCTACGGCTAACCGAAGACACCTCTCTGGGACCAGATGAAAGCCATCCTTCGATACCACGGGAGGGAGCTTTGATCTTGTCCGAACCTTTAGGTGAGTTATTTAGTAATTGTCTGAGTCAGAAGATAGTATCTGACCCTTGGAAGGTGGGCCACATAACGCTAATCTTCAAAATGGGCTCAGCGAAGCGAACCAAAGAAATACAGACCGGTGACACTTCTGTCCATCCCTCCCAAAGCAATGGAGTCGTTAATATATGATGAACTGAGGGATTACCTCACGAAGATAACTTTCTTTGCCCCCAGCAACATGGATTTTGAAAAGGGTGCCTCCGCATTACCAATTTGCTCACTGTAGTAGGAAGGTAGACTAGCGTTGTTGACCGTCGAGGACAAATTGATGTTACCTACCTAGACTTTGCTAAAGCGTTCGACCGTGCAAGTCACGACTGGCTTATTGGTAAATTGAAATTAAGCGGAGTTGGACCTCTTTTCATTGACCAATTGTCTTCATGTCTACGAGGCAGTTCATTTAGAGTTCGGGTAAGTTTCTCTATGTCCGAAGAAACAGAATATTCTAGTGGTGTCTCCCAGGGTTCAGTACTGGGGCCCTCTTTTTTCTAACATACATAAATGACTTGCCCCGACGGATATCTTCCAAAATCCTCCTTTTGCCGAAGGTGTGAAATTTGAGGCGAAGACAGTTTCTCCCTACAGGGAGACATAATTCAACCTCAAAACTGGGCAGTCAACAACGGGCTGGGATTCGATCCTGAGAAATGCAAGGTGATACGAGCAAAACACGATGCATCTCATGTAAATAGCCTCAACAGCATGAAACTTGTAGCTTCACTGACAAAGAAGGATTTGGGCGTCTGAATCCCCTTAGACTTCAAATCCTATGCCAACTGAGACGGAAACGCATTTTGGTGAAAACTTAGTGTTGGTAACTCTTGGAAGAATTTTTGGGCAATTCGATCGTAGATGCTTTCATCAAATTTTCGACAGCTTCATACGCCCTCCCCTGGAGTTTGGGACCACCATCTTTCCCCTTCTCTCCAGAAGGACAGACTAAGCTTAGAACTCATCCAGAGGCGTTCGACAAAATCTGTTCGAGGACGTAGGTCTAAAACATACGAAGGACATCTGGCTGGGCTCTATGTATCCTCTGTAATACAGAAGGCTAAGAGAAGATGTGATGGTGACTCGCAACATTCTGAGCACGCCTGGTCACGCACTTCGTCACTTGTTAAATCTTAGCCGTAGCAGTAATCTTCGAGGACACACAGAAACCAGGCCTGGAACATAGCAGGTTAGATGTCAGGCACAACTTCTACTCCCCAAGAATTGTTAGACCCTCGAACGCTCTTCGTGAAGGTGCGACCCAGGCTAATTGGTCCGAATCCTTTAAACGCAGACTGGATACTAACTTGACATGTGTCTGGGATCTGCCCAGAACTAATTGAATTTTTAAATTTTAACTGCCACTTTTTCCTCTTTCTTTACTTGTACACGGGTTAATAACCACAAGGAGTGGTGATTCACGTATTGCAGACGCGGAAGCAGTCAAGCGAAAGCTTCTATTCCGTCAACAACCATTTGAACCATTTACGGTAGTTGGATGTAGTATTGAAAATAGTGGGAGTATTAATTCCAAGGTCAGGTAGATGCAGTTGTAGATGCATAATGAGTCTTCTCGCTTTTGAGGATGTACGGGTATGTACACCAACTCAATCAATGGTCACTAAAAAGCTGACGTTAACACAATATTTCCTAACTTTCAACTCCCAGGATAATGATTTTTCGGTAAGTGAACACTTCAAAGAGTTTAATTTCGAGTTCAGGCACCACTCATTGTGGTGTTGAAAATCCTAAAGCATCAAAAATAGGTTGGGTTTGATTTTTAAGGACGTAAGAGTTGTGCATGATGAACGGTTGTTTTCTCATTATTTTCCATCGGAAGATATCATAGGACGTCCTACATATCGCAGTTAGGAAACGCTTTGGTTCCATTCAGATTTTTGGGTAATTTGCGAAACAAAATTTAAGCGCATAATGGAGTTCTTGGGTGTGTCTTTGGAATTAACTACACTGCACAAATTTTGCATGCACACATTTGGTATTCTACGACTAAGCACCCACAGATGAAAATTCTTGTCACACTGCTTTTTGCGGGTCTGTATAAATCATTTCGAAAGCAGTATTACAATTTGAAAAATTTGGGTGTACTGTAAATCCTTTAGCTATTTTTGGCGGATTTAAAAACTTTTGTGATTTTAAGGTAGGAATTTAACATTTATTGGAATATTGACGCATTTCCGCAGCTGCACCCAAAACATATTTCACTAGTACCAGCCAAAAAATTTTCGGACGAACACTTGTTCATCCATAAGTTTCGGAGTGCACTGAAAGTGTTTTCCCTTTGGAGTCATACAATATACATACATACCCCGATCGTAATAAGTGAACTTCGTGTTATTTCAATATGGCACAATCGTGGCAAAGCGTAAGCATACATGTTCATGAATTTGTTGAAAAACTGTCTATTCTGATTCCAACTTGTTACTTGTGGTCTTCTTAGTTGTTTGTAATTGTATGCACTGAATAATAACTTTTTCACAATGTCAGTTTTTGTCTTTGAAAAAAAATACTTGTATGTGATGGGGAACGGGAAAACCAAATACACATGGACTCCCTAGATTTCTTCCAGCATTTTCTGTTCTCTCGGTGGTTGCAGACATTTATGCCAACAATCACTGAATTATTTAATTATTGGCGTAACTATTGATGGTTGGTTAGTTATCAGTAATTAATTGTTATTAATCGGCAATATTATTACCCAATTCCAGTCTAGTCTCGATTGACTAACTCATTATTTCGCTGGGTGTCGGAAGTGGTGTTTTCGCTGATTAAACCGGCGTAAGTGATAACTGGCTAGTAGATGTAACTAGTCCATTCATACTATGTTGATATAAAAGGTGTTAAAATACACTTGAACTATCAGGAAGTTAGGTAAGTTGTATTCGGTGTATAACATGTTTCAGTTTGCGGTGCCATATTTGAGTTTCAGAATGTACCATTAGCGTTCATATTTGGACATTTTTATAGCAAACATTTGATTTCCTGATGAATTTCCATGCCCTATCTTGAATATTCATCATTCGTTTTATCAGTTTTAATAGTAACCAGTAGTTCATGGGCTACAGTATTGACTTATAGCTTCAGAAAATCAGAAGTCGTTAACTTGCTCTTTCTAGAGATTTATTATTTCAGTTAATTACTCATTTCCTTGATTGAGACTTTTCGCATTTTATTCACTTTCATCTTTAGTACAAATGGCATTGGTGTTAAGTAGTTTCTTTAAATGAGTGTTCTACCATAAACAAAATAAAAATAGGTCGTCACAGAAGAGTTACTAACTGAAATTATGATAAGTTTTGTATGCGTTATTACTTTCGAAACTCAGGCGTGTTCTGCAATTCTTTCTTCGACACATTTATTATTCGGAACCCTAATTATTCTGAATTTCTAAAACTTCGCAATCAGAATTTATCGTTTGCCGAAATTTCCTTAAAACATTTACCTGGGTGTCAAGTCAAACTTTCACTCATTTCTGCAGATCATGTACAGAGCAATCGATAATGTTCGTCTTTTTGAGTCATCTGCTGATCGTCGATTTACACCTTCTACACAAATCGGGTACACAGTGGCTCTTTATACGAAAGATTTCCATATTTACGAGTTGACCGTCAACAGTCTTTCTGATGCTCGGTATCTTGAACACTCATTGGAAGCATTATCGTCAAGCGGTAAGTATTTACTTATTAGCAGTACAATTTCAACGTAAGCAAACATTTTCATTCATTTACACGAGCTCAGAAATTGAACACATCATCCTATGGTTATTGTTCGTCGAGTATCAAACATAGTATATTTTAAAAATTGCTCAGAATGTCTTATTTGTCATGAAAACTGCGTTACTGGGTGGTGCGAATTCAAATGTTTGGGAGGTTATCAGTGTCTTCAGTGCTGCAAATATGCCTCATTGGTAGTCCCTATACAGATGAAACATACACTAAGCAAGTCTCATCTATCGCCTACAACCTCCTATGACTGAATATTTGTTTCACCTCAGATGTGATATGTTTTAATACTGTCAAATAATGTGCATATGGTATCAAGCCTGCAGTAATCCAGTATCAACATAGGATCTGGCATTACTTTGTGATAGTCGAGTTAACTGATGTTACGTCAGCCCATCAAACGCAATCTGATAACACGAAAGACAAAGAAATTGCCAAAGAGCAATCGAAAGTCGTAGAAAATTGTACGGCCAAGTGAAAAGGAGTCAAAAGTGACGAAATATGACTTAAGATTAGGATGAGGAACATACTTAGATGTACGGTCTTCTGAAAATCGTGAGCAAACTCTAACGTTTCTTTGCATGCATCGCTCTTGGGCTAACTTAACCCGGGAACCTAGCTTTGGCGTAGAAATGAAAGATGAATTCACATCTGTACCTGTAGACTGGTTGCTGGTGAAGAATCGTTTCACGTATGCCAACCATGGCTGTCCGATGACTCGTCAGATGACACTTATTTAGTTGAGAAATGCAATTATATATGATTGTATCACCGAGTTATTAACACTAAGGTTGGGTGTGAAATTCCGTGAAAGGGCGGTAACTAAGTGATGGGCTTGCAACCAATAGTGTGTCTAGTGGTATGCGTGACAAATTTTTCGCTACCATTCGCAATGTAGGCTCTAGGTTTAAGCAAAAGCTGAGGATAGTCAGATCGAAAATTGACCAACTGACTAGAAATAAAAGGTTAGGAATGACTGACAATGTAAGGTTATGGTGATATAGGGATTGCGCTTTTTTTTCAAACTGATACTTTTATTTTCAATATGAATGCTATTATGTTTCAAAATGACGTAATTATGTGATTAACATTATATGATAAAGATGTCGTACTTTTGAGTCATTGTATGGCTCGCTTAAAACAGTAGGATAGCCCTGAATCAGTGATTAATTCTTTTAGTCACTTGGAGGAAATCGTACCACAGTTTTGGTGTGCGTTTCGGACTCATAGAAGTAGTCTTAAAATGTGGACATTACATGTTTCATGAATATAAGCGTAAAACTGTTTCATTGTGATGCATCTAATAAGTCAACTTAAATACAGTTACTTCTGATAACTTTTTCATTCTTTTGTTTCTGTTTGTTTTTCTTACAGACGACGTGACACTTTATTATCCATTTCACTACAAATTAGACCCATCGTCTCTTTTGTCAGAATTGAAAACTACGATTGGCCAAATAATATCAAAGAGATCTTGTCTTCTGGGAACTGGCGTATAAGTCAACTGAATAAAGACTATACAGTGAGTAAGAGTTACCTTCTTATCACCTTCAAGTTGAATTAAAACTTTTCTTATCGGTATATTTTATCACACTTAGTGATGTTATAACTTTGTTAACATGTCTTGATAATGAAGACAGTATTTTAGCATCTCTATTGCCCTATGAATTTACTCTCTTAGGGATAACGTTTTTCATTTCATTCTAATCATATTTTTGGTATATCGTCATAGAAATGTGGGAATCAGTTTATCCCTTATGATTACTAAAAGAACTAACTAATATTTTGTAGGTAACTCAAATGTTGTTGGTTCGTACAATCCTTTCCAATCGATTTATTGAAAGCCACCAAAATTTTATTGCTTTTCGATCAAGAGCGTCGGTTCATGTTACTACACTTCACAGCAGAATGCAAATAGGCAGTGGACTGCTACCAGAATAGACAAAATTGTATGAAAGGATAAAGAATCTGAAAGAAATGAGAATGTTAAAATTCTTAAGATGTCAAGGAGTGAATACATTTACACCATTGCGACTGGTTTCCAGCCATGCCACTAAGAATCTCCAAACATTGATTCCTATTATCTGGGGGACCCTAGTGACGCAGTCTACACCTCCCTACACTGCTCACACTAACAGTCAGAGACTTCAGACACTGGTGTAACGTCTTTCTTTGACACTCTAATCCCTCCTTCAACACAATCCTAATTAGGGTGGCGTCGGTTTGCCAAGGAGGTTGTGGCTCAGTATGTCTAAGTCACTACAGTCACTGAAGGTTGATAATCTCATCGATCAACCTGCCTTTCTTACCTGATACTCTCTACCTTATCTCGACACTGCTACGTGGTGATTCCATCACATGTGAGCAGTGCTACAAAGGAATCTGTGTCGGGAACTTGTAATTTCTTCTCATATTCTGCTCTCTACTGCCATGTTTCACAGCCACATAATAGGACACAGCGAACTGCAACCCAGTTTACGTATCCTCTAATAGGTAGTTGGATATCTGGTTGGGTCCACAAAAGACTCAATTTAGTGAATACCGATTGGGCATTTTGTATCCAGATTGAAATTTCGTCAGTAGCTAACCCGTTTGCTTTGATGTGATTCTCCAAGTGAAGTGGTAGACGCATTCCACCTTTTCACTGTATATCCTTAAACTGGCAGTAGCTGCAGACCATTTCTAAGCATTTCACGGGTGCGAAGTGCACGCCAAGTATACTCAGCGTCCGAAAGACTGCATTTTGTCAGCATCTTCGCCTAACAGAAAAACGTCGTCCGCATACTCCATGTCAGCCAGGTACCAAAATATGATGGTTAGTGAAACCATCACCGTCATCACCATCAACGTTGATAACCTCCTAGGCTAGAACGTCGGGGAAAACACTTTGAAGCATAGTACAACGGGTCCTCAGCGAGGCTTCAGTTGCCCAATATCCAGCCTGAACCTGAATGGGATACATATGTCAATCCTCCAACTCTTAAGAAGTTGACAAGGCTGTTTCAAACCTGAAACGATACAAAGCAGCATAACCTGACAGTTCGACACTTTAAGTTTCCAATGATGTAGGTAGGAAATTGTCGATAAGGGATGCTAAGTATTGTATGGGAATCAAAGGTAATGCTGTCAGACTGATGTACTTCACTGATTATCCCAGTCTATGGAAGGGAGAGAAATTTCATTGTGACAACCGTAGAGGATTTAGTTTGACTAGTATTGTATCCAAAATCCTAGGGTCCATTATTATTTGACGTAAAACTGGGCACGAGAATACCAAACTCAAGAAATCCAGGCAGGTTTCAGACCCGAACGAGTATGGATCGATCATATTTTTACACTTCGACATGTCCTGGAACACATGCATAACTACCGACGACTGACAGTTGCAATACTTCTCGACCTCAAAGCAGCATTTGACTCTGTTGACCGTGAGGTGTTGTGACAGTGTCTGACTGTGAAGGGGAGTACCGAGCAAGTATATAATGCTTATCGAGGTGTCTGCTCGAACTCACTCAACCGTCTAAGTTCTTATGGAGAGTTTTCTTCAGAAATGATAGCAAATAGTGGCGTTCACCAGAGTTTCAGACTGTCACCGTTCCTGTTTCACTTCGTCGTAGACGTACTAATGGACATAACGTTAGGTACGTCTAACTTCATACGGTTTGACCTACTTCCTGGAGATCATGTGGTTGACTTGGAGTACGCAGACGATATTTCTTGCTGGGTGAAGCTGCCGACGCAGTGCGGGGTGTTCTGAATGCGATGAGCAGAAATTTGAGTATGTTTGACTGAAATTTGTATCCCATCTGTTAAATGTAGGATGATGCTCCAGGACTGCTGCAAGTACTCTCAGTTTAATGATGGGGAGTGAAGTTGTAGAATATGTTGACCACTTCACACACTTGGAGGGTTGCACCAGCCCGAATAGGCTGGTTGGTGACGAAATCGCAGCTCGCATACAGAAGACCTGTTTGTCACTAACCAAATGGCGTCATCAGGAAGAGAATGGCTATCACGCCCTGATAAGTGCCTCGGTATCACCCCCTGAGTACACACTTAAGGTTTTCATTCTCCAATCCAGCACACAGACGCCACCTTTGGCTGTTTCCCGCTATCAGTAAGGCGCAAGCACACGCGTCCACGATGTAACGCGTGATCGGATTTGAAGCAGGTAAGCATCAGCATCGGACTTGGTGTTATTGCGTAACGATCCATGTTGCCACACCTCAACAACAAAATGAAAGAAAAATAGAGGTAATTTAATCAAAAGGAATGGAAAGCGATAAGAATGTAGGAAAAATGAGAAGCGGTAGCACGGCAACTAACGGAGTTTCAGAGTTTTTGGATGCAGGTGTAGATGTATCTTTGCCATTGTGATTGATTCTGAGTCCTATTACGTGGTTTGTAACCCTCGGTTTCAGTTGTCAAGCGAACCCCAACTTGAAACTCTTCACTTCTCTTCATAGTTCAAGCCTGTAGATGGAGATACCATGAAATGATGCCACGTTTTAATTTAGCCAATCAAGGAGAAGCGGGGAAAGTTTCAACAAAACTCTTCACACACTTTATACAATGAGATATTATCACTAAAGTTGTATTATCCTTTAATGGGAGGGTTTGTACACTATCTAAAAGCATCGTGTTCAAAGAAGAGTCTAGTCCATAAAACAATGAAAGAACGACAAATGTGTTCGGTGAGTACTATTCAAACCTACATGACTGATGGACACCATATTTTTCAGAATCAGGCTTTCTTAACACTTAATGCGAGATAAATATGCTACTGGATTTCGCTAAAATAGATCTCAGAGTCATACAAATGTTTATGCCTGGTTTTTTAAAATCTAATTAATAATGTCACATATTTCGGTCTTCTATCTGATTTTCATGATAGCATTATTTACTTTCCGATATCATTCTTCTTCCTGATACCTAAATCGACGTATTGATATCGAAGTGCTATAGTTTTTATTGGCATGCAGGAATTGCAGACCTTACATTAGTAATATCTGTCTTTCGATAAATATCTTTGTAGCACTGGATACACTATCTTATCATATTCACGATTCCTTTAAAGACGGTGAAAAATTTCTCTCTTTGACTTTTTTTCTTTTTTTATTGTTATACCGGAACATCCTGTGCTTGATGGCGAATTTGTATTCATCCCATGTTGCGCAACGAAATTCTATGCAGTTAGTCAGTGAAAGTCAAGCGTTACGAAGTATCTGTTATTCCTGTCATAACTTATAGAAATCTTAGTGATATATATGCTTTTTGGGAAGACTTTTTCGACCGTAATAATGAATTTTTATCGAATCGAACAAGTCATTATTCAAATATTGCAAGATGACTGATAAGCATTTACTTTAAACAGTTGTCGGTGTTGAACTGCCTGTCTTCATATATGACATATGTAGTTATTGCTTCTTTAGAAACAGGTTAGTTGAAAGTGGCTATTATTAGGCATACTTCATCCGTTGCACGTGTACTTTCCACTGGGAAAATAGCACCTGTGATTTACAGACTGGATATATATCGGATGTTTGGTGACGAATTGTATAGTCTATTCATTATTATCATCATTATTATCATCATCGCTATTATCATCAACTACTAAAATACTTTTTGCTTATTGTATCCTAGCTGTGTAATTCCTATCCGAAGTCGCTTATTGTGCCTGCTAAGTGTGATGATCTAACGCTTTTGGAGAGTAGTCGATTTCGTCAAGGTGGTCGTTTACCAGCATTGATATATTATCATAAGCCGAGACAGGTAAATGTTAGAAAACACTGTTATATATTATTTTTAGCGTCAATTGAGTTGTCATCATTTCCTTGTGCAATGTTTTTTTCCAGAAGTTTGTGTTACCAATCAAGCGAATTTGGGAAATTAAACACGATTAGTTTATTCTACTCTGGGGTTCATCAGCTACATACAAGTTCTTAAAGCGCAGACTTTTAAAATATTTTAATTTAACCTTGGGAATTGTTTTTAAGTATGACTCAAGAGAGGCTGGACAACCCGGTACCCAGAGATTTTTTATACTTGTCGTACAATGAGCAGTAATGCCTAATCCTATGTTGATCTTGATGGTGATGACGGAACGGAACAGATTAGATGGTGATCGTTAACACGTTTTCGAGGATATCGCTTACAGCTCCTGATTTTAGTCACCCTTACAGAAGCATGCAAACCAGTGGACAGATAGATAGACACAGAAAGAATCAATGTAGAACCTCTTACACAAGTGCATCGGTTCAAGCTGCCACACATCCAAGTAGTATAAAAAGAACAGGTAGACAGAAACGGAGTGATTTCAAAGCAGAAAAAGTTGTGTGAGATAATAAACAATCCAAATATGACAGTTAGTGCAAATATTCAAACATTCAATGATGTCAAAGAGTGAATACATCTGCGTGATTGTCACCGTTTTTCAGCCATGTCACCAAGAGTTCTCAATCACTGATTCCTGTCATCTCGAGGACCCCAGACAGTCAGGGAGTCGACATCTCCCCACACGACTCAGCCCAACATTCATGGGCTTGATGGACTGTTGCCACGTCTTGGTCTGACCATCCTGAGCCATCTTCCAACTCAATCCAGCTTTCCCTAGCATAGCATTTCGAGATAGGCGGTGGTTTGGGATGGATAGTTCATGTCCAAGCCACCTCAATAGACCATGATTCACAGCCTCATAAATTGACTTGCCTGTCTTGTTTATTAACCTCCTCCCGACCTCAACATTGCTCACATGGTGATTCCACTGTACGCGAGCAATGCTACGAAGACACCTATGATCAAAACTCTGTAACCGCTTCATGTCTTATTTTTAACGGTCATGTCTCACAGCCGCATAATAGGACAGAACGTACTGCAGCAAAGCAGTATACTCGTCCCTTGATAGGTAGTCGGGTATCTCGCCATTTGGCGCAAATTGGCAAATGCCAAACGGGTCTTCTGTATCCGTGCTGAGATTTCGTTAGCAACCAGCTCGTTCGCATTGATGCGACCCTTCAAGTAAGTGAAGTGCTTGACACATTCCACCACCCCTTATCCTTAAAACAGGAGTATTTTTCTCAAAAGTATTCAAAGATATTGAAGTATTTCAAACTGTCTGGTCCAAGTTAATCTCTAGCAAATAAGTCTCTGCAATGAACTATAATCTCTTTTTGTTAATTTTAAACCCAGAGAGAGAGAAATGTGCGATTTGATTTGCATTTATTAGCCCTTTAGCCAGTTCGTTTTGATGTTATCATACTGATGACAAAGAGCAGTTTGTTCGTAAACAGAAAAAAACGTGAAACAAGATCCCAACAGTAGCTGATTGCATTAATTCTTTTGACACAACTGATGAAGTGTCTATCTAACTATTTCAATGATCTTAGAAAAGCTTTTATCTGTGGACTAATCTTTCCTAAGAGCAATACCTTTATACAGACTAGCCAAATCGTGTGTAGTTTACCTAGATAATTTTAGACGTTTGGGAATATCTCAACAGCTTGTTTTTTCTATCTTGATTCCAGACATGATGATGTGTTTATTTTGTCTAAGCATTTTAGTACAATTATTTGTTATTGAGTCAGTGAGTATATTTCTTTAACTAAAGATATGCAAACGTATTCGTCCGCATTCAGTTGCCTGCACTGCTCTAGGTGTCTACACGTCGTTCGCCAGATTATATTATAGTTGTACACAATATTTTGTTCTTTACTGGCAAAATCCGGTTGTTGTTTTCACTATTGTCTGTAATTACTAGTTACTTTTGGTAGAAATATTGGGTAGTTGTCGCAAGTGTTAAATGAGGTCAGTACTCACCAACTTAGATAGTAAGAACATTTTCTACAAGTGATACTATCTATCTGCTTGGGCGAACAATATTCTTCGAAGCGACAAAGAACCAACGAAAATGATTGACGTTCTCAGGCCAAAAAATAGTGACAAACTATCATCAGGTTAAACTGTTCAGGGTGTTGTAGACTATCAGAACAGAGTCTTCAAACGTTAAGACATAAGATTTTTGGTAAAAGTATGCACCTTGATGGTTTATGGTCCCAATTCTAATCCTATCAGCGATGCTTACGCAGTAGTGAATTCAAACTTCAGCTGTGTAATGTGAAAGTCTTTTTCACCTACGGTATATTTTAATTTTCCTTCCTGTAATTCCTTTCATTATTTTTCGCAGTTACTCCCAGTTTTTAGATAGGGAGTGAAGTGGTGGAATGTACCGTCCACTTCACTTACTCAAGGAGTTGCTTCAACCTGAACAGGTTACTTGCTGACGAAATGTCAGCTGGAACACAGAAGGACCGTTTAGCATTCACCGACTTGCATCATCACTGGCACCAGTAAGATATCCGACTACCTGTCAAAGGTCCTCTTATGCAGCTGTATGACAGCCCTGGAAAGTGTACATGTAAAGAGACTACAGGTTTTCGGCCGTAGGTAGCTTGGTAGCATTGGTTGCATATGGGTTGCATATGTGAGCAATGGAGAGGTCCGGGGAATGGTACTAGGCAAGGAGGGCAAGTCACTTCATAAGGTTGTTAACCTCTAATAACTGAAGTGAATTGGACATGTGTTGCGCATGCCCAGCCACCACCTAACTTGACATGCAGTACTAGAAATTGGATTAGGTTGGGAGAATGCCCAACTAAGACGTGCCATAGGTTCATGAATTTTACGACTGTTGGTCTGAGCATTGTAAGAAGGCACAGATTACCGGGATGGGGTCTCCTAGGCCTTTGGAGTCAGTGTTTGAAAATTCTTGGTCGCATGGCTCAAATCGGCCGCATTTGGGCAGATGTATTCACTCTTTGACGTCTAAGTCTTGAACATTTTTACAAACTTTCATTTCTGAAATCCACTCTCGCTCCATACACTTTTGTCTATTTTGATATCAGGCTTTTCGTATCCACTTGTGCCCTGCATGTTGGTGTAAAGTGTAGCAAGTTAAACCGATGACTTCTTTGCGAGGTTCTACGTTGAGTTTGTATCTGTCTTCGCCTTTGCTATATATATATATATATATATATATATATATATATATATATATATATATATATATATATAGTCAGGTCTAGATTCGAAGTTTATCACCTGGGTGGTTCGATCGCGTGATCCACTAGTTGAAAGTCGTGTCTTATCCAGTGAAATGGTTCCATTTGAAATAATGTCTCTGATGCTCACTTAGAATCTAGTTGACTGGGGTTTTCGTCGGGAGCCATCCACGTGAATAAACAATCTTTTAATCAAACAATAATGCTAGACTGTATACGCCTCATAGGTGTGAGGTGCCAGTTTATTCCCTATTGAGCTCTTAGTCGATAGTTTAACCCCGAGTCCCTCTCCATCTACCTCCGTTTGAGCAGATGCTCATTATTGTTTCTTATCTTGGAAAAGGATGTGTGATAGCACCTGTCATGTCAAGTTGTATGTATAGTCGTCAAGCCACTTTTATGCTCATTATTTTTCTGCTTCAAACCAATTTTATTATGACTTTATTTCCATATGGATTTTAATCCCTATAATAGACTGCTTTGCTGATAGCTGCTGAGCCAGTGACCGTGCAGACTACTGGGGGAAACAGTCAAAATCCTACAGGATCGCTTATATCTTCTGGTTCGAGTTTTGTAGTAACAAGTCAAATGACTACTACTACTAGCAATTCATTCACAACCTCTTTAACTCAACCGAAGTCCAGCAATTTAGTGATTAGTCAATCTTCAAGAAATTCTACATCTTTCAGTTCTATGTCGACCAGTCGATGTCGTCTAGATGAACAACTATTGACCTCTGTCCTTCCAGATCGATACAGAGGTGTTATATTGGATTTAAGAACTCAAAGTGAAACTAAAAAGCCTCAGGTGACAAGTAAGTCATCTATTTTCTTCAACTCAGAAGTTCACTTAAGTCACTAAAATACCTGTATTGTTTCGAGAATTAGGCAAATTTACTTCATTGGTTTCCTATCGGTCTCTCATAAACTTAGCTGTGAATAAAGTAGTAGTAGTAGTAGTAATAGTTACGAAGAAATAAACGCACCTCACATGTATGATATTAAATTGAATCGTTTTTCTTCCTGAGGATCCAAATTGTTATGTTTATCCTAATTGGAACACTGTACTGCTTAGTTTCTTGCAGTTAATTTCTGTTATCATAAGTCAAAGTAGATGTAGAACCTCGCACAGAAGTGTATTGATTCAGGTTACTACACACCACAGCAGCATACAAGTTTGTAGACACTGATATCAAATTCAGCAAAAGTGTAAGGAGGGTGAGAGAATTTCAGAAATGAAAGTTTATGAAAGTGTTTAAACTTCCGAAGGTGTCAAAAGGGAAATGCATCTACTCCATTGTGATCAATTTTCAACCACACCGTCAAGAGTCTGCAGCCGTTGATTCATATTATCTGGAGAAACCTAATGATGCAGTCTACACCTCACTGTATGGTTCACGCTAACAGTCAGAGAACTGATGAGCCTGTACCACTTCTTTGCTTCGTCACTCTGAGCCCCCTTCCAAAGGAATCCTAATTAGGCTGGCTTCGCATGTCACGGAGGTGGTGGCTCAGCGTACGTAACACATATCCAAGTCACTACAGTCACTGGAGGTTAAGAACATTATCAACCAACTGGATAGTACGAACATAATACAAACTTCATCAGTAAACTTTCACCAGCACTATGAACTTAACACCTACGTAAGTGCAAACAAGCACGAGAACTAGGCCCCTAAGGTTTTCCTGCTGATTGATTTCTAACGCATAAAATCAAGATAGTATTCATCTTTGGGCTATAGGTTAGTGGTAAGTAAACACTGCAGAATGCTTCCCTTATCCTTTTGCAAAAAATCAACCATATAATCCAAGTCATAGGTTTTCCCATTTTAATTGCTAATACCTTTATGAGTTTTATCTTTCGGTATAGATTTCGCTGGGATCAATCACTAAAAGAGACAGTTGTCTTATCGTTTAGTCCGAAATGTTGATCGGATTCCATACACAAAGTTGTCATTGCGGTCACCAATCCAAGTGAATTAATATCGTGGTACACTTATTTTGCTGTTGGATAGTCGGAGGTAACTGATCAGAAGCTGTAGTCTTAAGTGTTTTTCGTCCTGGCACTTTTCAAAAAGCCGTATCTGTATTCTGGAAGTAACTGATGTGTTGACCTTGAAAAATAGCCGGCCAATCCTCTTATACCCTTTTTTTGTTGTCGTTACTAATAGAGTTTACTTCTACCAACTCAATCATTGACATAATAGTACATTGTTTCTCTTTTCAACAGTCGTTAAATATCAGGAAGTATGACAGTGGTTGTCGATGTCTCAGAGTAATTGGACTAAGTGGTATGCATATGACCTCCAAACCGTCTAATGTTTCTTAGGTTAGTGTGAAGTGGATATTACCAAAGAGGATCCCACTATGATATCCTCGACCATTAATTTTTAATTACTTGTTGTAAAATACTTAAGATCTTGTTATTCATCTTCATCTTTTAGGCTCTATTTAATGTTTGTTTCAGTAATCTGTAACGCAGGCTAACTTTATTCAATCCTATTTTTTTATATTCAAAGTCATACTAGTAACCTGATTTCTAAGATAGAGGTGGGCCCAGTGGATCTATGAATCTTTGATCAAATGATTGAGAGATTGGTTGCTTCATTGCTCCACAGTTTCACCAATTAGGATGCATGTTCATTAAGTTCATTAAGCCCCTGATCTCCTTTCTCTTCTACACTCACAAAACACTATAATTTATGACACGATAATAGAAGAACCAACATTCACACTGATAATTAATATCATTTACTCAGAAAAATGACATTAATTATCAGCTCATCAAGTCGATTGATGAGGTTGTGAACTTAAGTCGACTGAGATGAGTTGGACGTGTGACGCGCATGCCGAACCACCGCCTACCACGCTAGAGAAGGCTGGATTGAGTTGGAAGAGGGTTTAGAGTGGCTAGAGCAAGACGTAGCAACAATCCCTGAAGCCCCTGATCATTAGTTTGAGTGGTGTGGGGAGATGTCGACTATCTGCTTGACTGACTGACTGGCTAGGGTTCTTGAGTGGTGACATGGCTGGAAATCGGTGACAGTAGCGCCGATGTATTCACTCTTCGACGTCTTCTAGAGCTTCAATATTTGTACTATCCTTTATTTCCAAATTGTTTATTCCCTCATACAACTTTATCTATTTTGAATCATTCTTTTTCTATCCATCTGTTCTTTCTATACTTCTGTGAAGTGTGGCAACTTGAACCGATGCACTTGTGTACGAGGTTCTACTTTGACTTTATCAGTCAGTGGTACTACTTGTCTCTTATTCATTCCTTCACTTCACTTTTGTTGATTTAATATTGTGATACATTTATTTTCTTAATAACTTGTTATAACCTTTCACTCTTTTCTCCTCATATTATACCATACAGGTGGTCTTGTTGAGTTTGAACAGTATTATCCACAATGGCGTCGAGTCTGTAGACCTGTAGAAACTATCATGAAGTTAAACACTACTTTCAGAAAATTCATTTATGGTAAGATAGTTACTGTATGTGTATATTTGTGCGTGTTTCGATAAGTTTTCCCTTGTATTTTATCATTCATGAAAGTTTTCACTGGACTATTGTTTAAGAGGAAAGAGTTTTAATAGATTTGTACATTTCATGACCAGATAGACATTATTGTCTTTTTCAAACTTCAAAGTATCGTACTTCGTTTCAATATCTGTAGAATAGAGTTGTACTATGTTTTTGGAGAATCGTGTGAAACTGTCGTATATTAGCTTCGCAAACACTCAACTGTCAATCAGTGAGTCATGGGTTCAAAATTAGCTCCATTCACCAAAGTTTAAACAGTCAGCTTGTAGCATCACTAACCGTCACGACAATGACTAGCATTGTTAGCCTTGTACATAGGCAAACGCATGATTGTTAGGTTACATTACAGAGGATTCTACGAATAACGAAGTATATGTCTGTCCATAAAATGATCACATTTCAAAAATACAATAAGTTTATTGTATGTTTCATTGCGTTCTTTTCAGCTATCTACAAACCAGTTTACCTAATTAGTTCCTAAAACAAATTAAATACTATCATACTTTTAGATATCAACACGAGAGTATGCTACCATACCCTTAATTTTGCATAACTTTTGTTTGATGTTTGCCTATGACCCTAAACTAACTTGATTGGTGTTTTCAGAGACAATGGGTAGAGGGCATACAATGTATATAAGATACTGACGCATTTCTAGGTCACTTGGCTAGTACGCTATCGGTGGGGAAACATTTGCGCTCCTATTTGAGGTCGTTTCGAAAAAAGTGATAACAGCATAAATTCGTTTGTTTTCTGTTTTGCTAGAATTGAGTGACTGTCTGACTACAGTTTCCATGCATTTTATGGTATCTAAAGAATTTGAAAGCTGGAAAGGCTGGAAAGTGGTGTTAATTGATTTGAATAACATAACTATTAAGAACTGTAGTGAGCATAAACCACAAACACCATATACTTGCGTGAATTTAAGAGGCATAAAAAATTTACGTTGGACGTAAGGTATTTCAGCGTGCGTCAGTAACCTCCTTTGTATTATGATTTTCTGGAATTCATATCGAATAATTCCATGGCATAAATTATCAAGATGACTTGAAGAATTTCTTTGCTCCAGTTGCTTTGGGTTTGGGTTTAGGAAGCTGCATAACATTCGGTGGCATAGAGAATATGTAGTATGTGCTCAGATGCACCGTGTAGAATTTAGTCACAGTGATGACATTCATCATAGATAGCCGACCTGCAGGAATGACCCACAAGGGGAACGATGTATCCTAATGTGCGAATCAATTTGTCTTCCTTTCATGATTTCGAAATCAAACGACGAGCGGACTTTAACAAACGAATGAATAGATCCAGTCGTGGAGGTGTGAATTTGTCATAAGCATACTAATTGAAACATGTAGATAAGTTTTCCTCTAAGACTTTCCTACACAAGAGATGTGTATAGATTTGTAACTTATCGTGACAAATAATATTCTCGCCTTCCATTTCTACATTGTGAACTTCTATTTTATTTCATCCTTGGGGAATTTAATATCAGCATCTAACCACTTACTTTATATGTGGTCCATTTCGCGTAGGAGCTTACCGTCCGAGATCATGTGTACCAATGAATCAAAACCGTGTTTTCATGCTATTCATGTAAACTAAAATCGCTCTTGTAAGACTAGGAAAAAGATAAACGGAAACATATAGGAAATTATTTATTTTAGCATGTAACCGTAAATAGATATTGCATAGTTTGCAATGGTCATTCCATATCTTTGTTCTTCAACGCATCGACTATGCACTGTTCATCCACCTGAAATAAAAATAAAAAATAGGTTCGTAATGAATGACAGACATTTCGAAATTTAGTTTTGTACTGAGATATTAACATACACCATAGCATTCTTGTCTGCCTGTATGGACATGCGATGATTTCAGTCTATAAGCGACTTCCCCTCTATATTTTGCTGCATTTACCACTGATGATCCAAAAAGACATTTATCACCGCATCCAGAATAACAAATACGAGACCCGAACAAATAAACTTACTGGAAGCAATTTACTTCTTAATGATATTCCGTGTCACTTGAGTTGCATGGTATCAAGAAGTGCCTAAAACGTTTACCAATAAATTAAATCATATTTATTTTATGTTGCTTGATCATTCATAACCATCTTAGCTTCAAATTTCGCATATTTTATGGACATTTTACAGTCGAAACGGAAAAATACACAGGTCAACCATTTTCGCATGGGCAGCCGTTTATTACATCCAGATTATGAAAATTTCACTTTCTCAGCACCCTATTGCACATTTACGTAACATCTATGCCATCAAATGAGCAATACATACAGTATTTCAACCAAACGAAACCGGCTGATCATGCCCTTTATCCAAATCCGTTTTCACACCGTTGTTAGCTTTTATTTTCCCTCTGCTTCTGAACGCTGAATTCTCATTGATTGAAAGCTCTCCATGAACGATCTGTTTTCTCTTCTTGTCTTCTCGTGTCGGTGGCATTGTTGTTGCGATGGTTGACGTTCTGATTAGCGTCTACAATCGATTCGTTTGCGCGTTAGGTTCGTATCGCACGTGGACTGTTATGTCACACTACCGGTCATAGCAGAATAAGAATAGAGTTTTTCGAAGGAAGTATTTTTGGCATAGTTGCACAAGTAATTGGTGTAATACATTTTTATTATTATTTATTATTTGTCCCTTGGGTTCCTAGTGGAACATAGGGCTTCAGTAGCCCGCCTCCATTGCACTGTTCTCTACAGTCTTTTGAACCTGGCGCCACGACTGCCCACAAGCTTTAATTTCTTCCTCACACGATCTCCATGTCACCCTCGCCTTGGACGCCCAACTCCTCGTTTCCCTTTTGGGTTCCATTCGACGGCGTGGCCTGGCGCGTGATGTCCCCAGTCAGCCTTCTCAGTGTTTGCCCAATCCAATCCATCTCCACTTTCTTCTGCATATTTGTTGGGTTATAGGTTCTTGGTTGGTTGGTTGCCAGCCAGCCAGCCAGAGTTCCTTGTTGCTTATTCTTATTATTCTCGCCATCTGATCTCCATCTTTACTATCGAGTGAGCGTAGGCGGCAGCTGTTGATGAATGTCTGTAGTTTGTTCGAAGTGCTTTTCGTGACGCGCCAAGTTTCTGAACTATATAGAACCACTGACTTAACATGGGTGTTGAAAATCCGTATGTTGTTCACGCTTTATGCTGAGTGCAGTAGATCTCCACACTTATTTCAAGTTAATGAAAGCCTATCTTGCTTTTCCAATCCTTGTTTTGACATCCTCGTCTGTCTGTAGTTGAAACTATGCTACCTGGGTAGGTGGATAGGTGAAAGAGACAACTTCCTTTAGGTTCCTCCCATTGGTGATGGTGATTGGGGCTTGTTGTTATTGTTGTTGGTCGGGTATCTTCATCAGCTCCATCTTCTCTAAGTTCACCTGAAGGAAGTCCCCTCTTCGCTGCCTCTTCTGTTAACTTGTTGGTTTTTGTAATACGTCTTGGCTATTAGTAATAAACGTTAAAAGAGGAACGAATGTAGACATTTGCATTATATATTGAACTTCCTGAATACAAAAATTGTGACCACTTGTATTACATTCGCTTATAGGTAGCGTGTAGTTTTTCTAGCGAAACAATTCAGGAAAGTCCTTACACATGTTGAGATTATTATTGAAGATTCGTTGAAATGATCTTTCAGAATATGCACTGTTACGAAACTGTACATATCGAACTGTGTTGTTTTTCAATCTTTTCCTCACCATCTTTATTAAGCAGATGGAAAAAGGTTTCAAATAAGTTATATATTCAGCTATTGAAAAATTATTCTGGTATGTAAAACTCCCACCCGAGATTTTCATATCATTTGCGATTGCCTTATCCTTTGTAAACCGATTGTCCTGTAATAAGGTTTCCAACGCTTTGATGATGATTCTTTTCTACATTTTCAGCGTGTTCAATGGTCGGACGTCTCACTCGTTCTGCAAGTACAACATTTGGTGCTCTTCAGTCTGGAATCAGTGATTCGATTGGAATGTTATCCAGTGCAGCATTTTACCCAATCAGTAGTTTGGGGTTACGTAATAACAGTAGTAATAATGTCACAGCATCAATATCATTTGATGGCTCGGTTAATCCATCTGCTGCTGATGTTGATGAATCTTTGAATACATCCTCAAGAAATGGTCTTGTTTCTCATTTGGCCTCTTTAGATATTCAGTCACCTAATTCAACAGGTGAACCTAGTCTAAATACTACTACCAACAGTAGTAATAGTAGCAACAATGCTGTGAAAAAGTCGAAGCGATTTGCAGCTTGGTTGTCACTGGTACGTGAAGCACTGGCAGCTGCAGTTGCTGGAGCAACAGCGTTAGACGCTTTGGATGCATTCGCTCAACAACAGTTACAACAAGAACAATGCCTATTAGCTGAAAAACAAAGGAAATCGCCTAAAAGTCATATTTTGAAGAAGCCAAATTACGAGGATCTTATGTACTGGTTCAGAGTCGAAAAGGGACAGATCGTGCTCTTCTTGTTGCTGGTTTAATTCAGATTATTTTGAATCCTGAGGCTAGAACTATACAAGGGTAAGCGGAGTTCATTCGCTTCAAACTTGTTCTAACTTCTTGGTCGGCTATGTTAGCAGGTATATAATATGCAGGGCTCTTTAATATCTGTGGTTTTTTAGTTTCTGTATTGTTATGTGATAGTCTTTCATCGATTGACAACTCGACCCTAAAGCTTTTTTTCTGTAGGAGAAAACAAATTTAACTTAGTCGCTTACCGTTTATATCCACGTTAAGTAGAATGTAGTACATTCAAAAGTTTGAAGTTTGTTAGACAATTTCACTAACTATTTGTCGGAATTGCTTTTTGATCTTGTAGTCGATGTGACATTTGTTTCTTGATTCAAGTTACGCGGATTTGTCTTAGAATGTAGGTTAACATTTATGATCATGTTTGTACTTCTGATTCTGGTGAACATATTTCAACTTTATTTCGTCACTATAGTCTATAAACCAGATTGGGTGAAATTCATGTTCACCTTTTCATTTAAGTTTCACTTCACTTAACAACTGAATAGCGTTTAGGTCGAATACTATGACTTCTAGTCGAGTTGTGAGGCATGCTTTTTCCGATGGTGAGTGCTGGATTAAATAAGCTTTAAGGTGTTTTCTGTAACTAAGACTCATAAACATATAAATCCAACAGAGACAGACAAAATCAACGGGTAGAACCTCGTACACAAGTGCATCGGATCAAGTTGCCACACATCCAAGTAGTATACAAAGAATAGGTGGATAGAATAAGAGTGATTTCAAAGTAGACAAAGTTGTGTGAGAGAACAAACAATTTGAATATAACGGTCAGTGCAAATATTCAAGCTTTAGAAGATGTTGTAGAGTGAATACATCTGCGTGATTGTCACCGATTTCCAGCTATGTCACCAAGAGTTCTCAACCACTGATTCTTCTCATCCCGAGAACCCAGCCAGCCAGATAGGCAGGGAGTCGACATCTCCTCACACGACTTAGACTAACATTCATGGACTTGATGGAGTGTTGTCACGCCTTGGTCTGGTTATCCTGAACCATCTTCCAACGTCCCCTAGCATAGCACCTCGAGGTCGGCGGTGGTTTGGGATGGGCAGTTCATGTTCAAGCCTTGGTAACTGGGTAGTATCATAAGCCTTCATTCAATAAGGGTAGTTCACAGCGTACTGCATAAAATTGTGGCGATTGGGTTGTGTTTTTCAAATCTTGCTAACAGTGTATACGTGATCATGAAGGCGTTCTTTCAGTTATGCAAGGATGTATTTTTGTGCTTTGTTTACCAAAGTATTAAGCTAGATGAAGTTAGTCGTTAATGTGGAAAGTCGTTGATATTCATATCCAACCAGTTTTAAGTACCTTCACACTCCTGTGTGTAAAAACGTTTTTCTAATTTTGAAGAATAGGGTATGAAACAGTCGAGTGCGTTGTCTGCTTGACTTATTTGGAAAGTTGCATCACTCGTACTGTGTTCATAATCGGTGAAATTCCAGCTAGTACACAGAATTTTCATTCGTGATTAATGTCGTTGCTGTCACTAGCGAGGAATATAGTTTTCAGTCAACAGGGTGAGGGTACTGCAAAACAGTTCGCTTAGTTATGCTGTTCTGATGAAATGCTGAAAGACATGAACAATCCACAGTTATCTATGTAGCGTTGCTTGCGTGTGGCGGTACTATTACTATTACAATATTTCCCTACTTAGTACCAAAGTATAGCTACAGTTAGTGAATAAAAGCTTGGTATATATATGGCTTTGTGTGTGATAGAACTGTGGCTCATTGGTCTAACCGGCCATGGGTTCGAAATTTGCCATATCTACCGCGGTTCAGTCAACCACGCATTATCGTTAACCTTCCCACAATAGGTGTGGTTCATTGCCTACTGCACTTAGTGGATGAATTACGAATTGCTTAGTGTGTCACTTTTGGATTTATCTTCCACTTCTGTACTACAACTATCATTAGTGATTTTAATATTATCATTATATTTGCATTTTTTTTACGGGTGTTGAAAACTCTTCCTTGTACCCTCAAGTGATACAGGACTACTCCAGTTTCCTCATTTCCCCCCCCCCACCTCCACTACCCCGCTTCACTTATTTCGACTTGACTTCAACTCTGTGTCTCATAGCCTAGTGTGTAGGCGTATTACAGGTTGAATTTCAGTGCATACTATCTTCGTCAGTCTGCACACAAACTCTAAAGAGCTAAAAGGTTTTCTCCCTGAAACGATCGTACTTCATTGATCGATTTGAAATTTTCTTTAGCGATCATGGCAAGTTTCTTTTGCACTTAACTGATTTTATCTTCTGCTACCTAGCATTCTGTTAGAGGTTTATGTACAAGGTTATCGGTCACAGTGTATCTAGTTAGTAGTTAGAAGAGAGTTAATACGAACTCTGTATATGCGATTTGTACGGCATGGCCAGTAGTTTATTCTCTCCACCCTCATTTTCAAGCTAATTCGCTGTTTAATTAACGCTTGGTTTTACTATGTTAATGCTTCAAATTCTAAACAGTCATGTGGCTTGTATATATACACACATATTTTGGGGTTAATGGATTGTTCTTAGAGGTAGTAAACTCTCCCATCCAGTTCAGTCTTCTCTATTTTGTCGGTTGTTTCAGTCGATGGATCTTGCGTACGAAGTTTCCTGTCAGCCGAGGGTGCATATTTTCTCTCAGGAGGATAAAACTTTAATTACCAATAATTTTGTCACGAAGTTTGTCACATGATTTTCCTAGGTCCTGTCTTGTGAATTCAGCTAAGTTTACAGTGAGGATCAGTAGTACACAGGGGCCGACTATATCTTGAATCGACAGAAGTTGATAAATACGAACCAATCCAGTGTCCATGAGGTTTATAGATCCTTGATTTGATACCGAACAAGATTGTTGAGAGTTAAAAACTAGTGTATAGAGGCTATTCAGTGCTCTCCTTTTACTAGCAGTTATGCTATTAGCTTCACTTCATTTCAGGAACCGCCGTAAAAACCGATTGGTTTCTCAAAAATTACTTAGCTCGATGTCGTATATGCAGATAACGTCTTTTGCTAATCCGTTATGTGGATATTCGAATGTTTTTATCCATAATGAGATGTTTGGCTCTGACACGTACTACGTATGCCTAGTCACCGATTGCCTCGCAACACAATGTTGGCCGAAGTAGGTGCAGGCTGAAAAAAGGCCCAAGGTGACCAGACTAAAATATGGCAGAAATGCATGAAGTCTCTGACTGTTGGTTTGAGACATGTGGGGCGGTGCAGACTCGGTGGTTAGGGTCGGCGGGACAAGAGAAACCAGTGCTTGGAGACTCTAGGCGATCACATGACTCGAAAAAGATTTAATCACAACCATAAATTTCATCATCTATTCTATGCACATCTCCAAATTCATTGATTGGTCACTGGAGGGTAATCAACTTCATATTGCCTAGTCCTAAGTGCTAATGAAATTATATCCATCATTTTTGCAATGTGGCCACGAAAGTAGGCAGCTCAACATCACAATGCTTGACCTATGTTTCGTGCTTGTTGACACTCGTGAGTTAGGCATATCTGCAACCTCGAGGAAAGTGATGTCTTGCCTGAGATTGGAACTGGCGTCAACTGGTTCCAGGGCATTCTGGTGATTGCCTCCATTCAACTGACATTTCCAGATTGTCTAAAAGTTTATTCTACGTTTTGTGTTTCAGCATCTTCTACTAATTATTATTTGTTTGTATGAGCGTCCAGCGTATTATAAGGGATTGGTCTTGAACGGTGCCTTGGGTGACAAATAGAGAGTGTAGAGGTTGAGTGTGTTGAGGACTTCAGTTACCTGGGGGGGGGAGGAGGGGAGGGGGCGTGAAGTAGGATGAGCTTTGGTGGAGAGTGGTCAGTGGCGGATGAGATCTGTGCAGTAATACAAAAGGCTGGAGTGGCTTTTGCGAACTTAGGCCACTTGTGGTGCCGCCGTGGTATCCTATTGTCTATTGAAGGTCGCATGTACTGCACCTGCAGAGCAGTGTGGTGTGTTCTACTGAATGGGTGTGTGAAACATGGCCATTGAAGGTGGAAGACATGAGAAGGTGGCTGGCTTGAAGTGTTTGACCTGTGTTTGCTTTAGTAGTATAAGTTGTATAACGTGGTGTCAGTGGGTGAGTAACAGAGAAGTCAGTTGTAGGTGTAGAGTTTTAGGGAGGGAGAAGAGGTAAGTCAGCTGACATGGTTGTGAACCTCCATGGACTGAGATGTTTGGGAGATGTGTTAGGTATGTCCAGTCGTTGTCTACCTCGTCACACAATGTTGACTGAAGTAGGTCGAGGCTGGAAAAAGACTGAAGGTGGTCATGCTGAAGCATGGCACCAATGTATGAAGTGTTTGACTGTTGGTTTGAGGCATGTGAGGCTATGCAGACTAGGGGGTCGGGGTCCACGGGAGGAGAGGAACAAGTGTTTGGAGAGTCTAGATGATGACATGGGTGAGAACGGATGTGAGTAGTGCAGATGTATATACACATTATCCTCATGTTAAGGGTGGTATACTGAATCTCACCATTTTTCTCATTCTTCCATTCTCTCTTTTCGTACTTTGTATTTCTTTTGACTGAATATTCTCATCTTCATATTTCATCTCACTGTCTTTTAACTTGATGTAGTGATATGAGGTGTGACAGGTTGAACTGTTACACAGTAATGCCTAGTCTTATGTTAGTATCGATGATAATGATGGTACATACTGATTTTTTAATTTTCCTCTTTCAATTTTGTATCTACAGATTTCAAACACTTATCGATCATACTTGGCTGAACTCAGGTCATCCATTCACAGATCGTTGTCGCAATTCAGCTTTTTGTCTTAAAGCACCGGGTGATGAAAGTCCAGTGTTTATCCTTTTTTTGGATTGTGTTTGGCAAGTAGGTGCGTTTTTTTTTAAGAAAAGGATTTTTGCTTTCCAGTTAAAAAAGCTTGCGTTAAACTTTAATCTAATATACATAATTTTTCTTATGTATACAACATTAAGTTAAGCATAGGTAATTCTTTAGTTTATGTTATAATATCCGTGTAGTCATCATCGTCATTATCAACATAGGACCAGGCATTACTGCGTAACGGTCCGAGTTGCCACACCTCATATCAGCACATCAAGTAAAAAGGTAGTGAGGCGTAGGATGAAGATAAGAGAATGCAGTCAAAAGAAATATAAAGTAGGAGAAGAAAGGAAAGAGGAGTGACAAAATGGTGAGATTCGGTATAGCGTTGTTAGGATGAGGATAATGTGTGTATACATCGCGCCACTGACTTCGGTTCTGAGCCATATCACCTAGAGTCTCCAACCACTGGTTCCTCTTGTCCCGTGGACCCCAACCACCTAGTCTGCATCGTCCTACATGGCTTAAACCAACAGTCAGAGGCTTCATACATTGGTGCCATGTTTTAGTCTGGCCACCTCGGGCCTTTTTCCAGCCTGGACCCACCTCAGCCAACATTGTGTGACTAGGCAACCGGTGAGTAGGCATACGTAGTACGTGTCCCAACCATCTCAGTCGATGAAGGTTCACAACCTCGTCAACTGACTTACCTCTTCTTCCCAAAACTCTACACCTAACTTCTGCATTACTTACATGGTGACACCACGGAATACGTCCTATACTATGAAGGCAACGGTGGTCAAACACCTGAAGCCTTTTTGTATCCTCCACTTTCAATGGCCATGTTTCACAGCCATACAGTAGAACAGACCGGACTGCTGTGCAGTACACGCGACCCTTAATAGACAAACGAATATCACGGCGGCGCCATAGGTGGCGCAAATTGGCAAAAGCCAATCGAGCCTTTTGTATCCGTGCAGAAATCTCATCGACAACTAACCCATCAGGGTTGATCCTAGTTCCCAGGTAAGTGAAGTGGTCAACACACTCAACCACTTCACTCTCTATTGTTAGCCGCGGTGGGGCACCGTTGAAGACCAGTCCTGGAGCAAAATTTGCATTTGGGTGGTGAAAATCGCATCCCAAACCTTCTCAAATTCCCACTCAAAGTGTTCAGAAGACTCTGCATCTCATCAGTCAGCGTCTTCACTTAACAGGACTATGTCATCTGCATATTGTAGATCTAAAGAAAATTCACCTGTGATTGGGTCAACGTCTGTGTAATTAGGTGACGAGAGGGAAACTTCCATAAGGATATCTATGATAAAATTGAATAAGAATGGGGATAGTGGGCATCCTTGATGGACACCACTTGATGAGTATAGCTCCCTGGACAACTCGCCATAGGCTCTAACACACCCACAAGTGTTGGAGTAGAGAGCTTTCAATAAGGTGATGTACTTACTAGGCACGCCTTTCAGTGACAGACATTGCCATATTACTTCTCGATCAATGGAATCAAATGCCGCCTTCAAGTCGAGAAATACAGCTATTGTCGGGCGTCTGTAAGCGTGCCTATGTTCCAGGACCTGGCTCAGTGTGAATATTTGGTCGATACATCCACGGTCAGATCTAAATCCTGCCTGGTTTTCTCGGGCTTGCTGTTCCCGTGTAGTAGAGCAAAGCCTAATGAGAGAGCTAAATGAAAACAGTATTATTGGTTTATGTGTTTTCTAATTTTGATAATGAGAATTCAGTAAATCATTTACATGTAATCATGATTGAAATTGAAATTACGATATAGGATTGGAGCTAGTTTTGGTCTCCAAATCATCAACTTAGCTATTTACAAACTTATAATTAATTTTCTAAAATCTTGAAATGTTATATGTGTAATTGATCTGTAAAAGATTTTACCTTTTAATCTACACAGCCTTTAGTTGATTCTAGTTATCATGAACAGTTTAGAACTTAAAGCTAACTGTTGGACATCAATGAACTAAGCATCTATTGTGTTCTTTGAACTCGAAACACTTGAACTTTTGAACCATTGAATCCCATTCAAATATTCAATATCATTTGTTTTGAATTATTGAATCGCATTAGTTAGTCCATAACCTTTAAGCAGAGGTTTGCATATTGTTGTTAGTTATTTTTTGTATATTCACTGAAAGTGAAATCTAGGATGTTTATTTCATTCTACTTGAGGTCTGTTGGTTAAATATCCTTGTATCCTGTTGTATGTAGGTGCTGTTACTGAGATTCAGGTCCAACACTATGGAATACTCTTCATAAACTACTGATATAATATAATAGTATTATAAAAATGTGAATGGAGTGGAGAATAGAGAAAAGGAAAGCTATCAGAAAAGGGAAATTAGTTACAGAGGATATGAGTGTTCGACTTGTGGTCTTAATCACTCAGCATTCAAGGAATGAATTCTAGGTTTCTCTGGGTCATAGTATCGTATCGTGCATTAATCTGCCCTGCGTCACATTTTACCAAACTTATGGATGGTACATTTAAAAAGTTCGCATCACTTGAGCTGTGGCTTATCAAGATTTTCTAATTCACCAAAATTACATGCCATTTCTCGGTATCATATCATTAACTCATCACTTTTTCTCTTCCTTTAAGCAGTCCTAAGAATAACGAACAGTCAAATGGCATCGAAATTACCGACATAGTAATAATGAAACCTGTCACCAGTCATTTCAAACTTATTAATGATGATGATAATAATAATAATAATAATAATAACATTATTTCAAACAACACAGTATGGAATTTCCAGCATAGAATATTTCAACAGATTCCCTTTTCGTACATTATTTTTAAAAAAAAATAATTACGTCTGTATAGTGTTAATAATAACAGTATTGAAGGCATAAGTGTGAAACGGGCAACTGGTGTTACATAAACATCTGATCTTGAATCGGAAATGAACACAAAATCGACTGTAATTTTGATGACGGCAGTTTAGTCAGGCAGCCAGCATAGAAATTCACAATCTCCCATACAAGTATCCTACGATTAGTAATGTAGTGTATTTTTGAGTATTTAAAAATCTATTTTCAACTGGTGTAACGTTTTTCCTTTGTTTTGTTCTTCGCTTGAGAAACGAAAGTTTGAAAACAGTGTAAAAACATACAAGAGTATATGATGCGTTCAGAAGACATTTAAAAGATTAAAACGAAGTGAAAGGGAAGAATTTGATGGAATATATTCGGTAGCCCAAGATCTTAACAGACATGATTCTGTGTACACCCCCAGTCTACTGGTAAAAGTAAAATAAGTAGACTTAGGAAAGGATTAAATACTGAACATCATATTTGTAGTCATTTGCCTTTATTGGCAGGGTGTTAATTCACTTTCTAAAGTTCAACTTCTGCGATTAACACTTGTACAGTTGCGAATGTACCACTTACTTCTTGCTCTTTCTTTTCAAAGATAGTAGGAAATATTCGAGACCTCAGATGGGAATGATAATTGATTAGCGTTAACCACGGTGTGATATTTCATCTTGAATGCTTTGTTGTTAGTGTCACGATGGGGAGTTGTGAGAACGAGCAATAACGATTAACGATTGAGAGTAGAGGATGAAGGCAGTTAAGTCTGAGTGATTCACAGAGGGGGAATCAAAAGACTGAAAATATTTTTTTAGTAAAACTGGACCCTGTTTATAGAGTTTGCAGTGACTTTGAAAGACACGGAATAATAAGTGCATTTAAAGAGGCAAGATCGAAATTCACTCAGCAACCTTGTACACATTCGTGCTGTAGACAATTAGTCACACCTATTGTATGAGGGTTAATGATACTACCTAGCTGCTTGAACCTAGGTAAGTGGAGTAGGGTTCAAACCCATGATCCACTCATTGATAGTCAACTCCCTAAACCAATGAACCATAGCCAATCAGTACGCTAGCAGGTTATGTGAAATGTGACCCATGTGCATAAGAAAGACCACAAAAAAAAGCAGTTCAAAGTGTAAAAATGGTAAGTATAGAATATTAGGGGGTAAAGGCATCCCTAGCGACTGCATCTAACGACCTAATAAGCATAGATAAATAGTTAGTTTTTAAAATTCAGTATACCGTGATCTTACCTGAATGAAAAAAATTTCATTTGTTTTTTTTCTACACCTCCACAGTTACTTCGTCAGTATCCAAATGCATTTGAATTCACTGATGAATTACTTTGTGTGTTAGCGAAACACGCTTATTTTTCAGAATTTGGTAGGTTATTATGGTTTTATTTTTCAATCTGTACTAATATTTTATATAAAATGATGCTATAGGAGAAATTCAGGCACTCTAATATGATAATGATTGTAGCTAGCAGCGGAATTCAGGATGCGCATTTCGTCTTATTTGGGACTCGTCAGCTGGATGTACCTGCTCCCCATTTAGTGATGTTGTTCCTACTGGGACTGGGGAGCGATCGCTTCAAACGTGAGAGCGTTATCCACTACACCACTGAGCCACGATAGCCACTTCTTGTGCGACGGGTATTGTAATACAAGCAATAACACTCTGATATGATCCTAAAGGAAACTAAGTTACTCAACTTGATCCTTAACGGCAAAAGTAACATAGTGACACAGAAGTCATATGGAACTAATATTGTATACTATTTTTGTTTTCATCTATTTGTAATAATTTGGACTTGAACTTTTGGACTCATGCAGGAAGATTAAATTGTAAATGTAATGTTCAGAAATTCAGATAGACAAATAAATCAAGAAATCCCAACTACTTACAGCATGAGGAACGAGAGGGAAGCCACTTGATAAGGTCGTGAAGCTGCATAGGTTGGGATGGCTGGGATATGTGTTACTTATGCCTAGTCACCGTTTGCCTCGTCACACGTTGTTAGCTGAAGTAGGTTCAGGCAGTAACAAGACTCCGCGCGATCAGACATCAATGCATGAATTCCTTGACTATTCGTTTGCGCTATATAGGGGCGTGTAGACTAGTCGTTTAGGGTCATCCAGGACAAGAGGAACCGGTGGTTGGAAACTCTATCTGATATGGCTCAGAACGAATGTCAGTCTCGCAGATGTATGCACATATTATTATCGCCTTAACCGTTATACTTAATCTCATAACTTTTTTTTCATTCCTCCTTCCTTTTTTACTGCTTTCTACTGCATTTGACCAATCTTCGATCTTACTGTTTTGTTACTTGATTTGCTGATAGGAGGTGTGGCCACTTGGGCTATTGTGCATTATTTACCTGGTCTTATATTGATATCAATTGGTGAGGTGGTTAGATATGCATTGAACATACTGAGCTGCCATTCACCTCGGCGAATAATGTTTGTTAACGTGGGATTAGTTTCAAAAGAAAACTGTTAGGGTGGAAACTAAAACATGAAGTCAATCCAAGCAGTCTCTAACAGTATGTTTGAACTATATCAAAAGATGTAGGCTGTCCATCTGAGGTTGTTTAGTTCATAGAAGTCTTGATGACGTGACTGAAAATCGGTTGGAGCTGTGGCTTGTTGGCTTAAAAAGATAATTTTCAACCAATGAGTCGCGGGTTCGAGCCCCGTCTTTAGCTCTCGTACGATTCGGCTGAAAATTGGTTACGACAACACAGGTGCTTACTGTCACAAGCATTTCGAAATTTTGAAAAATTTGTAAACTGTTTTACTTCGCACTCTTTTACCCGCTAGAGTTTTGATTGACTTGTGCCTCTTTAAATGTACTAATTATTCTTCGCTTTTCAAGGTTACTGTAAACTGTATAAATAAGTTCCATTTTCATTAACAAACGTTTTCAATTCGAGATACTATAAACTTGGTTGGTTTCCAGTCTTTTGATTTTTCTTTACAAATCACTCAGTTTGAACCGTCTCAACTCTTTCTGTGAAGATCGTTTGAAATACAATATAAACTAATCCACTTACCAGATAAGTATATACTGAATGATCAACATGAACTTAGTTCATTCAAACTAACCAAGTATATCATTTCATTAAATGTATATATATATATATATATATATATATATATATATATATATATATATATATATGTATTGGACATTCCTGTCGATTCTTGAAGGTGATGACTGACAGATTATTGAATGATGAAAACGCATGCTTAACTTATAATTGTATTCTCTAGTACGTTCAACGTAGAGCTATTTGTTTGTCATTTCCAACACATTCTGCGTAATTTGGTTTGATCTACAGAATATTGACAGTCATCTTTCATTGATTTGCGACATACTGGTGCCAAATTGGCTCGAAAAAGATCTAATTACAACCATAAATTTCACCATCTATTCTATGCACATCTCCAAATTCATTGACTGGTCACTGGAGGGTAATCAACTTCATATTGCCTAGTCCTAAGTGCTAATGAAATTATATCCATCATTTTTGCAATGTGGCCACGAAAGTAGACAGCTCAACATCACAATGCTTGACGTATGTTTCGTGCTTGTTGACACTCGTGAGTTAGGCGTATCTGCAACCTCGAGGGAAGTGATGTCTTGCCTGAGATTGGAACTGGCGTCAACTGGTTCCAGGGCATTCTGGTGATTGCCTCCATTCAACTGACATTTCCAGATTGTCTAAAAGTTTATTCTACGTTTTGTGTTTCAGCATCTTCTACTAATTATTTTTTGTTTGTATGAACGTCCAGCGTATTATAAGGGATTAGTATTGAACGGTGCCTCGGGTAACAAATAGAGAGTGTAGAGGTTGAGTGTGTTGAGGACTTCAGTTACCTGGGGGGGGGAGGGGGCGTGAAGTAGGATGAGCTTTGGTGGAGTGGTCAGTGGCGGATGAAATCAGTGCAGTAATACAAAAGGCTGGAGTGGCTTTTGCGAACTTACGCCACCTGTGGTGGTGCCGTGATATCCTATTGTCTATTGAAGGTCGCGTGTACTGCACCTGCAGAGCAGTGTGGTGTGTTCTACTGAATGGGTGTGTGAAACATGGCCATTGAAGGTGGAAGACATGAGAAGGTGGCTGGCTTCAAGTGTTTGACCTGTGTTTGCTTTAGTAGTATAAGTTGTATAAGGTGGTGTCAGTGGGTGAGTAACAGAGAAGTCAGGTGTAGGTGTAGAGTTTTAGGGAGGGAGAAGAGGTAAGTCAGCTGACATGGTTGTGAACCTTCATGGACTGATATGTTTGGGAGATGTGTTAGGTATGTCCAGTCGTTGTCTACCTCGTCACACAATGTTGACTGGAGTATGTCGAGGCTGGAAAAAGACTGAAGGTGGTCATACTGAAACATGGCACCAATGTATGAAGTGTTTGACTGTTGGTTTGAGGCATGTGAGGCGATGGAGACTAGGTGGTTGGGGTCTACGGGAGGAGAGGAACAAGTGTTTGGAGAGTCTAGATGATGACATGGGTGAGAACGGATGTGAGTAGTGCAGATGTATACACACATTATCCTCATCTTGATGGTGCTATAGTGAATCTCACCATTTTGTCATTCTTCCATTCTCTCTTTTTGTACTTTGTATTTCTTTTGACTGAATATTCTTATCTTCATATTTCGTCTAACTGCCTTTTAACTTGGTGTAGTGATATGAGGTGTGACAGGTTGAACTGTTACACAATAATGCCTGGTCCTACGTTGATTTTTATGGATGGCTGGATCTGCGTAATACATTTTTCAGTTACTTCGTTGAATCAAGCTTCACAACCGACATGTTCGGATTTACCATTTTGGAGGATATAAATCAACACTGAGTGTTACTCCTTATTCTTACCAGCACAATGAATGATCAGAATATTGATGATGGTCATGAGTGTTAGGAGATAAACAAAGTAATTAAAATTGGAAATAAAGTAAACTGAAGTCTTCTAATTTATGCATGAGGATAAAGTGTGCATTCAAGTACCTTACTTTATGTCATTTTGAGTTGCGTTGTTGTCAGTAGTTCTCTATTTTCTCTAGACTAGTAGTCATAGGCTTCATGCAGTGGTGCCATGTTATAGTGTTGTTACTGTGAGGCTTTTTAATATCTGACTTTCAATCAAAGGACGAACATACTGCGCTACAGTCCGTTTCAGTTCTCTATTATGTCTGTGAGATATGACCGCTAAAAGTAGAAGACAAGAAGCGGTTGCAGGGTTTTGATCATAGGTGTCTTCGTAGCATCGCTCGCGTATAGTGGAATCACCATGTGAGCAATGTTGATGTCAAGAGAAGGGTACTAGGCAACAAAGTCGAGTCAGTTGATGAGGTTGTGAACCTTCATTGGCTTAGGTGACTTGAACATGTACTGTGTATGGCGAACCGGTGCCTACCTTGACGTGTGATGCTTATGTAAGACGGATTAGTTTGGAAGAGGGTTCAAAGTGGCGAGACCAAGACGTGTCACCCGTGCATGAAGTGGCTAACTGTTTGTCTTAGCCATGTGGTGGAGATGTAGAAGACTACCTAGCCGGAGTCCGCGTGACGATAGGAATCAGAGGTTGAGAACTCTTGGTGACATTGATGGGAATCGGCTACAATCAAGCAGATTTATTTACTCCTTGACATCTTCTAAGGCTTGAATATTCGCACTAACCCTTGTCTTTGAATTGTTTGTTCTTTCTCACAACCTTGTCTACTTTGATGTCAATCTTTTTCTACCCATCTGTTCTTTGTATACTTTTGTGAATGGTGGTAACTTGAACCGATGCCTTTGTTTGCGAGGTTCCGCGTTGATTTTTTCCGTCTGTCTTTTTCACACCTTACTGTTATTCCTACTAACGAAGAATGTTAGAGATACATTAACTAAAAATGTAACTATATTTTTCTTGATCAAATGCACTAGTGTTTACTTGTCTTAGATTTGCTATCCAGCAATGTACTCTATTAGGAAATTACTGCCTTGATTACACAGTAGCTTTTATCATAGATTGACAACAGCCAAAGATTTATTAGGACTTGGAGAGTGATAGACGGGTGTTTCGTCCTAATTTGGGATTCATCAGCGTTTTCCACCCTGGAAACACGATTGGAACTGAAAATTATTTTAATGTATACCTCTTGTAAGAAACTATTAGTCATTTCGATATCTCTTAGATGGAAATAAATGATCACTATCGATACTTTCCCTCTCTTTTTTTAAGGCACATTTCTAGGAAATTCATCACAAGAAAGAGAAGTGTTAAATATTCCATCAAAGACTATCTCTTTATGGTGAGTTTTATGTTTGAATGCAGTTATTGTTCCTGTCGATTTAAAAATGAATAGTATTTTTAAATGATAAGCTGATTTACTTCGAAGACGATATGTTGGTTTTTTTCAGCTCGTTGATTTATTTGGTATAGACTAATCTTAAAAAAATTCCATCACTGATTGGCACCGATTGGATTTGAGTGACAATTCTAAAATCTGTTATCGCTAGTTAAAGAAAGAGATTGGTGACATAATGTTTGTTTACCAAATCAGTGTCTAACACATGGAGTAGGAATAAACAGCTAATGGACTGTGAACGATAAATTATACTGGAAATGTCATCCAATAAATAATACTATCTATTGCTGTGTCAAATAAACAGTCTAGATGATATATAAATGCCATACAAACTATCAGTATGGTAAAGTTTTAATTTATACTAGTTGGTAATCGAAGGTGAAATGAAAATCTGAACCGCAGCCGGATTCGAACCAGCGACCACCGGTATACATACTAGTCTGCCAAACTACGGCTATCTCAGATAGTCAAATGATAAAGTTTTAATTATTAGGCCATAAGTGAAGGTGTATAATTCTGTTTTATTGCCTAATTCAAAGCAGATGGGGCAGAAGTTCGAACCATGGAACATGTGTGTCGGGATTCGAACCGATGATCCAGTTAGCACTGAATGGTTGCTTATTTCTGGTTTCAAACTGGTAGGCAGTATGAAACTAGGATCATCGGGTTTCCTGGTGATCACTTTATTATTCACTTACTGGGTTAGTTTCCAATTTTACTCAATTCACTCTTTTCTGTTCATAGCATTCAAATTCTTCACCGAACGTTCAATTCACTCATTGTTGTTTACTTCTGTTTTGATTTAGTTGTGTCTGTCGAGAAATATATTCTGTTACTTTATTCTAAGTAACTCAAAAACCACAGTGTTGTGTATTGTATTTTGTAGAGATTGGTTTTTAAGTGGCTGGTAGTTGGTTTCAAATATACCGCATCTACCTTGGTTGGGACCGTCAGGTAGTATTGTAGACTGCACACTCTAAGTTGTAACTCACCGCTTAGTGCACAAACATAAACAATCATCATCATCATCAATATCAACGTAGGACCAGGCATTATTGTGTAACAGTTCAACCTGTCACACCTCATATCACTACATCAAGTTAAAAGACAGTGAGATGAAATATGAAGATAAGAATATTCAGTCAAAAGAAATACAAAGTACAAAAAGAGAGAATGGAAGAATGACAAAATGGTGAGATTCACTATAGCACCATCAAGATGAGGATAATGTGTGTATACATCTGCACTACTCACATCCGTTCTCACCCATGTCATCATCTAGACTCTCCAAACACTTGTTCCTCTCCTCCCGTAGACCCCAACCACCTAGTCTCCATCGCCTCACATGCCTCAAACCAACAGTCAAACACTTCATACATTGGTGCCATGTTTCAGTATGACCACCTTCAGTCTTTTTCCAGCCTCGACATACTCCAGTCAACATTGTGTGACGAGGTAGACAACGACTGGACATACCTAACACATCTCCCAAACATATCAGTCCATGAAGGTTCACAACCATGTCAACTGACTTACCTCTTCTCCCTCCCTAAAACTCTACACCTACACCTGACTTCTCTGTTACTCACCCACTGACACCACGTTATACAACTTATACTACTAAAGCAAACACAGGTCAAACACTTGAAGCCAGCCACCTTCTCATGTCTTCCACCTTCAATGGCCATGTTTTACACACCCATACAGTAGAACAAACCGAACTGCTGTACAGTAAAACATAAACAGCGTTGATTGGACTGAATAATTGAAAGGAGTCATTAGCAAATGGAATGACTTGGAAGTAAATTCTCTGACTGCATAACTGTTTAGCACTAGCTGGGATTTCGTAGTTATGGTTACTTTAGGAAGATGTTAAAATTCTCACTGACTGCGTCCAGATATATTGCAGCTAAGGTATGCATGTTCATTACAGTGGTGTTCCTCCTATCTTGGTGATCACATTGCCAAATTATCGCTAAGATTCTCTCAGCATTCAGGAATAGAAAACATGAAGTTCGATGCTTGGATGGAACAGGTGTCCACTACTCCCAGGTTTCTAATATTTCTCTTACTGATATGAGTCCATGATGAATACCAACATGAAGTCAATAAATAAGTCTTAAAGAACCTGCAAATTCAACATGGAATTGTTTACCCTCTAGTGACTAATCACTGTAAACTGCACATTTTCACAACTTATTGTTTTCCTTCTTACTATAGGAAACCTATTTTAAGCATTAGAGATCATCGTGTGCTCATTATTATGGGTCTGAATTCCTTAGTGCTAGTCAAATTCTGTTGACCATGGTTGCATTACGTTCACAATACTTAGTAACACGATACTCTGTTGCACTGTCACGATTTGTTTTAGGTGTTTGATTGTAGGTAGTAGGGAGCCTTTCTTGACCTTGTTAGGTAGCTCTCATCATCAAGGTGTATCCGTATCCTTTTGGAAAATCTTACCTCTGAGCTTCGAATCTTCACTATTCAATTCATGACTGATCAACTGCAGAAGTGAAGTGTCTGCACTAGTTTACTACAGTATAGGTGTCACTATTTAATTATGATGGACAGATAGACTTACAATTAACCAGCCAGATTTCTTTTTATTGAAACGGGCACCACCTTGAGCTAATGTGACGTGTTCTCTTTCCATGCTTACGTAAATATGACTAAAATCGTATACTAAATGTCGCGTGTGTATACTGTTCGATATTTCTCCTATCTTTTTTTAAGCGTCTATGTTATCTGTATGACGTGCTCACACCACTACTGCAGAAGATTTGGAGGAAAGGAAAGGTACCTGATGATTGGAAGAAGGGCTACCTTGTCAAACTCCCGAACAAGAAAGACCTAAGCCTTTGAAAGAACTGGGAAGGAATCATGCTGCTGTCCACCTCAAGCAAAATATTAAGCCGCATCATCCTGAAGAGACTAAAAGATGCAATGGATTCAAAATTACTATCGTAACTGGTTGGCTGGCTTCAGGAAGTACAAGTCATATGCGGATCAAATTGCGTTGCTATGCATCATCATAGAACAGAGTATAGAATGGTAGTTAACTCTCTAACTCAACTTCATCGACTTTGAAAAGTCATTCGACAGCGTCAACCTAGAGGTAATTTGGAAACTGATTCAACACTACGGAGTGACACAAATCTTTATCAACCTCATTGAACAGCTATATGAAGACGCCTTTGAAGTGAAGAAAGCTGACAGAAGTAAGACAAAGTTGCTGCCTACTATCACCGATTATCTTCCTTGTTGTGGTTGACTGGATCATGCACCCAACCGAGGGGAGCGGAAAGATAGGCATACACTGTTTGACCGATGAAAAGACTGTCGAAGAAGATTTGGATTTCGCCGATAATTTTTGTTTGATGTCGCACAAAATCGAAGATTTACAGGCGAAAACTAACAAGTGGACAGAAGAAGCAGCAAAGACGGGACTTCAATTGAATATTGAGAAGACGGAGGTGATGAAGATGCCCAACCAACAGCAGCACCAACAACAAGCACCAATCACCATCACCAACGGGATAAACTTAAAGGAAGTAGTCTTTTTCACCTACCGACCTACCTAGGCAGCATCGTTTCAACTACAGGCGGCGACACAGACGAAGGTATCAAAACCAGGATCGGAAAAGCAAGATAGGCTTTCTCTTATCTGAAATCAGTGTGAAGATCTAGTGTATTCAGTATAAACAACAAGTTCCGGATTTTCAGCACCAATGTCAAGTCAGTGCTGCTATATAGCTCAGAGACTTGGCGCGCCACGAAAAGCACTTTTAACAAACTACAGACATTCATCAACAGCTGCCGCCTACGCTCAAAACTGAAGATCAAATGGCCAGAAAGTATACGCAACAAGGAACTCACTCTGGGAACCAACTAACCAAGAACCTATAATCCAACAAATATGCAGAAGAAAGTGGAGATGGATTGGATTAGGGTGGGCATACACTGAGAAGACGGATCTGGGACGTCACGTCACGTGACAGGCCAGGCCCTCGAGCAGAATCCAAAGGGGAAACGACGAGTTGGGCGTCCGAGCCGAGGATGATATGGAGGAGATGGTATGAGGAAGAAATGAAAGTTTGTGGGTAGTTGTGGAGCCAGGTTGAAAAAGAATACTGGAGAGAAGAGAGTGCAATGGGGACGTGCTAGTGAAGCCGTATGTTCCACTAGGAACCCAAGGGACAAATAACGATAATAATAATATTGTTAGTGTTATCATTAAATTTTAGAAATAGATGAAATCTCATATCAGCTCGTTTGTGTTTCAAGCATAATGGGACTCATTTAGCCCATATATATCTTAATTCTGATCGTTATTACTGACTATGCTGAGTTTAAGTCCTAAAATGATCTGTCTATGGCTGACTGTAGTTTAGGGATAAGATTCTGATTGGAATCTGAATTTCAGTTCACACTTTTGGAAAAATGTATATTTATTACTGAGATTTGCGAACCACAATGAAGGTACAATATTGTGAATTTGTGACAGTTTTCGCCGTAAGGAAATGGGAAGTTCTGTTTATATGAATTTACTGCACCGCATCTTTATTGATTGTGTGTGTTTTCTACGCATTCGGAGTACTCATAAGAAAAATATGTTAGTTCGTGAGTGTAGTGTTATCAGTGTCTTGTAGGGATTATAAATATTATTAGCTGTATAAGGTAATGGACCTTCGTAGTCTGTGAGCTTTAACGCTGTCATTATCATGATCCAGTTATTTGTTGTCTAAGTTCATCATTTAGAACTTCAATTCTCTTATACCCTTACTTTATTTTTAATTGTGCTGATAAGCATAATGTTATTTTAAACATAGTTTTCTATATTTATGTAGTTACTGTAATATGGCTGCGAGAAATGGCCAATAAAAGTAGATATGAAACGATTACAGGGTTTTGATCACAGGTGTCTTCGTAGCATTGGCCGCATGTGAGGACAGATGAAAGGTACTAGGCAAGTCGATTGATGAAGTTGTGAACCTTAGTCGACTGAAATCGCTTAAATATGTACTACGTATGCCGATTCACTGCCTAACTCGATGTACGACGCTTAGGGAAGCTGGATTCGTTTGGAAGACATCTCAGGATAGTCAGACGAAGACGTGATAACAGTTGATGAAGTTCCTGACTGTTAGTCTGGCCGGTGTAGGGCGATGCAGATTGCCGCTTTAGGGTCTTCGAGACGAAAAGAATCAATGGTTGAGAACTGACTGTTGGTGACATGGGGGAAAATCGGTCATAATAGCGTGGATGTATTTAGTCTTTTATATTTTCTTAGGCTTGAATATTCGCACTAACCTTTATCTTCAAATCGTTTATTCTCTCATACAACTTTGTCTACTGTGAAATCACTTTTCTTTACATCTGTTCTTTGTATACTACTGTGATATGTGGCAACTTGAGCCAATGTATGTGAGGATTTACTTTGATTTTATCTGGCTGTCTGTCTGGTTCGAAGATTACTGCAGAAAAGTGTGGTACTGGTCGTGTCACTGTGAGATGCGAATGTCTTACAAGGATCGGATATACTATGCTTCGATGTGTTTTGTGAAATTATGTCATCAAAGAAAGGGGATTTTGGAAGATTTTAGGTACTTAATTGATCATATCTGTCTTTGGAATATCGTTCGCATATTATGGAACCAGTATCTGAAAGATGTTGGGCAAAGAATTAGAGTATAATGAATGAGGGAATGAAGTCATTAAGCGAAGTATCTGGGATATATGTTACCTACGCTGATTTATGATTTACTTCATGAAAGTCGATGGGAAAAACTAATAGTTCAAGGCATTATATACTGGTTTGTAAAGTCTTTGGCTGCTGGTTTAGTCCATATAGTGAAGTTTCATATCGGCTTCCTGGCTAAAGGATTGTGGGGCAGTTTGAATTGACGGCTGGAGACTCTTCTTTTGCTGAAATTAAATTGTAATGCTGTAGGGACCTGTACTTCTTTGTGTCAACTACATTGTGATATATCTATATCCTTATTCCCTTAATCTCATTTTCTGCTTATCTTGTAATTCTATCTGGTGTTTTGTAGAGGTTTATTAATTGGTTTTAGGTTTGAATTCATCATGGATTGACACCAGTTGGGGGAAGATTGGCAACCTGGGAGCACTAGACATCTGTTTCGTCCCACTTGTATACGACTCTTCAGCAGTGCGCGCCCATGACCCCACGCCACTTGGGATCGAGCCCAGGACCATCATGTTCTATGGCCAACATGTTACCATTGAGCTATTGGTCCACTTTTCCTACTTCTGTCAGTTGACGATATAGCGCGACCTGTGTCCAATGTCATCGTTAAGTAACTTTCCTCATGTTCGACTTTGTTGACTTCACTGGTCACAACTCCTTGGAACTTCGGGAATCACCTCTGGAAGCTAGTCACCAATGAGCGCTAGATTAATTCTACCTGGAGGTTTGTGGAGGTTTGTTATTCATTTTTAAGTTGGAATTCATCATGGGCTGGCATCAGTTAGAGGGATATTGGAAACCTGGGAGCACTGGGCAGCTGTTTCGTCTTAGTACGGGACTCTTCAGCAGTGCGCATCCATGACCCCGCCAGGAATTGTTTTTGCGGCATCTCGTACTAGTGTTTTCATTTATTCATCTTTACCATCATAAATTTCCTGTTTGCTTTGCTAATTTAAAGTATGTGGCAACTTGGACCAAAACGTAACTATATTGATTTCTACGTTAGTGTTAATGTCTATCTATTGATTGCATCTTAGCATCGATTACCAAATCTAAACGAACCACACTATCTGTTTCATGGTTACGTTTCAAATCTTACCGATTACCATCTAGAGCTTGTCATATAACCGACCAGTCAATCCTGTGGGGTGCTGGCCACTTAGCTTCCGAGAGACTTAATAATCAGTCCTCATACTGCTAGACTGGCCAAGTGATAGAAATTTGAATCTCTGATAACGCTTCATCTTTTTTCCGTGTTACAAACATGCATCGTGAAATCCACGACTTAAGTTGATCGAAGTTTTTCTGTCGGTTATCTTCAACCATCTCAGACTATACGAAACTATGCTTTCTAATTACTCAACTGTGTTTTGTTTTCAATGCTTTTGCCTATATTATATTTGAACAGGATCATTATTTCCTATTATTAATTTATTTTCCTATTTGTAGGTCATATATAAACCAACCAACTGTAATAGGTCGTTTTCAGAATCCATTTTATTCTGGTCCAAAAGATGATGATTCTCAATCGGATGGTGTTGATGTCGGTTATGCTTGTTGGCCTTGTTTAGCAGCACAAGCACTGGTTAGTAAATTTCATACAGTTTTATTTATTTTAGAAACTGATAAAACCTAGGTGATTCGTATAAAATTAATTTTTGTTCAAGTTATTTGTGATAAAGTCAATGATGCATACTGAAAGTATAACTACATTTCGTTTTCTAGATTCTTAAATCAGGGTGAAATAAGCTCTGTATAACTGATTTGAAAATTATTCGACTTCATTCTTTTTTCCGTATTATATTTAATATGAAGCTGTGACTCAGTAATTTTGGGAGGTGACTTTCGACTAGTGGGTCACGTAGTCCGAACCCCACCCCGTTAACCGAGGTTAAAGCAGCCCGGTAGTATCGCATAATAAGCATGGTTCATTGCCTACTACATGAATGTGCATAGATTGCCCGAGTGCGTTTATTTATATGATTATTTTTTTTCCCTTGGGTTTCTAATGGAACGTAGGACTTCGGTAGCACGTCTCCATTTCACTCTCTTCTCTACAGTCTTTTCAACCTGGCTCCACGACTGCCCACAACCTTTCTTTTCTTCCTCACACCATCTCTCCCATGTCACCCTCGCTTCAGACGCCAAACTCGTCGTTTCCCCTTTGGATTCTGCTCGAGGGCGTGGCCTGTCGCATGATGTCCCCAATCGGTCTTCTCAGTGTATGCCCAACCCAATCCTATCCATCTCCACTTTATTCTGCATATTTGTTGGATTATAGGTTCTTGATTGGTTGGTTGCCAGCCAGCCAGAGTTTCTTGTTGCTTATTTATATTATATTACTATATAATTGTGGTATTTAACTCCATTTTGAAACATACAGACGAAAAAAGTGGATTCACGTATACAGATACTTCCAACAATGAAACGCAACGAAAGTCATCAGAAACGGGAAGGTTTGCGAATATAGATAAAGCTCATAGATAGAAGAGGAGACAAATACTTAAGGTGCCAAGTGTTTATTTTGAAACAAACGGGCAGTAGTTATGCATGTCAAGGTAATCGAATTCGAGTCGTTTTGGATAGGAGCTTAACGATTAATTTCTAACAAATTTTGTGTTATTAATGGATATAGAGATGAATTCCAAATACCACTTATATTACGCATCTCTAGCCCGTTTCTTTTTCTTAAAATTTCTTTCTTCATTCTCAGGTCCTGGTCTTGTTATGTCTTTGCCTTTTATAAAGCACCCATTGAATACATCAACTTCTGAAGGATGGCTTTTATCCCGCTTGTCCCACTAATATATTTTATGCGTTTCTTAGAAGCGTAATATATGCACTGACTGTTTAGGATGCTAGAATTTCGGCTATTTAAAGCCTACCAACGTATAACGCATTTTCAGATAGTCAAAATAATAATCATTATGATGCTCTTCCTTTCTAATGCAGTTAGATTTGGATTGGAATGATAAGTCGTGACTACTAGGCAGCCAGTGTGAATACGATCAAGCGATAGTAACGCTCCACGATTTCATATGTTAGTCGGGCAAAACTCTTAGTGATTGAATTAAGATAACAATCTGATTAGCAGTTGGACCTCTTAGGTCAGTTGGTAGGGCATCGGGCTAGAAACCCCAGTGTTCGAAGGTTCAAATCCGGTCGCAGTCCAAATTTCCATTTCACCTTCAATCATTACCCAATATCAACCGGTCATACAGTTAGATGTTGACACGAAAATGTTAGTAACTGAAAGCGGTAATCAGGATTAGGGGAGAGATTGAAATGAAGCGATTTGTTGATAATTAAGAGGATGGTTTTAGTGAATAACACTTCGCGTCTGGGCATACCATAGAAGTTGATATTTTCTTTAAAAAGGAAGCTATTCAGTTTCATATCATAACTAATAGAAATTTAGCCTCATGGTTATTGATCAGAATGAATTGACTGCCTTGGACGTTTTGTTTTATTCTCTGGTTGTCTATTTTTTTTAAATTGGAAGATTAATTCGTAGATACGTTTTCTTGATGAAATCTTTTTCATGATAGTGAAGCGTAACTCAACCGGTTGATAATCAGTTCTGTATTCTGATTATTTATTTAGTTCCCATACAATAGGGTGGGATAAAACCACTGTACTCAAGTCCGATATAATTAAATGGAGAGATTGATTACTGAATCTTTGTTCATCGAATCTATACTCGATACATGTAATAGGCACGACGCATCACCGATATTAGAGATGTGGAACACTTTACTACCAATAAAAGTAAATAATATTAGGTGGAAGGTTTATAAACATCAGATCTCGAAAGGAGTGTGATTACACTGATATGACGATGAGCAATGATTACTAATGCTGGAAACGTTATCCAGTGAATAATACTATACTATACGCCATATGTCAAATAAACAAATCTAATGTGGAATTACATTCTGCCACAATGCCCAAGTTTTACATTTATTTATTTAGGTTTTGAGAGTAGGTATTAAGTTCACAATGATGAACTTAGTATTTATTTGATCAACGGTCAACTTTGTATTATCATGCTTAAAGTGTGGTCCATTACTTTAGGCAGATGCGTCACAAGTTTGAACCACGCTCCATTTACCAAGGTTTAGGCAACTAGGTAGTATCATTAGCCCTCACACAATAGATGTAAATCATTGACGCCTACTGTATGAATGTGCACAAAATTGCTGAGTGCATTTCAACTCCAACCACTTATATAAAATTTTATATAACCGTAGAGAATGAGAGATATCTGTTTGAATTCGATCATATACCTATTCGTTTTAGAGCTGTTGTTGTTCACAGAGTTCTATTTCTTCTTTGAAGCCTGTAGAACAAAGCAAAATGCAATTATTTTCGCGGTTGATGGTTTCTAGCCCTACTCATTGTGCAGCGACGGATTTATGGAGAGTATTCGAGAACGTTCATTATCTGAGAGTAGCCATCATCACATATCTATCAAAGCGGTTGTAAAGCTTCGTTCTAAGATCACTGACACAATACACTCTACCTGCACAACCTACGTTCAACACTTTGGCCCTCTGACCATCTTCTGGAGATAATAGGATGTCATTCAGAAAACCTCTTAGTCAGTATAGCTAGGTTGAGCATCTTTGTTAGGTATATCTAACTGCTGTGCCAAAGTAACAGTTATCAATGGAGAATAATGTTTTCACTTTTTGTAATAACGTTTTCTCAACTGTTTTTGCGGATTGCTAGTTGTGTAATCTATGTTGCTCATTCTGTCTAAGTTGAATGCTGGATCTAACATGCATTACTTCTAGCTTTGGGATGTCACTCACTAATATTACTGATGTATCGAAACACTCTTTTACTTAACCAGTATTACTCACTGTGCTTATAATGTAATTACCACGTGAGCAACGTCAAGGTCAGGCGAAAGGTTCCACAAAAGGAAAGCAAATCAGTTTATGAAGTTGTGAACCTTCATCGACTGAGAAGGCTTGGACATGTGCTGCACATATCCATTCACTGCGTACCTCGACGTGCCATGTTAGCGACGTTGGATTAGGTTGGAAGAGGGTTCAGAGTGGCCAGAGCAAGACGTGGTACCAGGGCATGAAGTCGGTGACTGTAGGGGGGGGGTATAGACTGCTTGGTTGGGGCCCTTGAGACGAAAATTATAAATGGTTGAGAACGTTTGATTAAAATAGCTGAAAATTCATCACAACAGTGCAGACGTAATCACTCCTTAACGTGTGCTAAAGTTCGGATGTTTTGATTAACCTTAGTGTTTATTAAATTTTCTTTCCCCCCATACAGCTGTGTCTACTTTGATATCAGTCTTTTCCACTCATTTTTTCATTGTATACTACTGTAAAACGTGGCAACTTGAACCAATGCACCTATATATGACGTTCTACGTTGATATTTTTGTTTGTTTATTACTTGCTGTTGGTACCTGTTGCTAAATAGGGCTAGTTTGGTTATTCTTTCTTGAGATATTGACTTTTTATGTGCTAATGACCATATATGTGATCAGTTTAATTCTGTGCTGTGATAGCAAACAAAGGTCAGGCTTCAGCGATATCAATCAATCAATCAAACAATATCAACATAGGACCAGGCATTACTGCGTAACGGTCCAACTTGCCACACGTCATATCAGTACATCATGTAGAAAGGCAGTGAGGTGAAGGATGAAGATAAGAGAATACAGTCAAAAGAAATACAAAGTACAAAAAGAGAGAATAGAAGAATGACAAAATGGTGAGATTCAGTATAGCACCCTTAAGATGAGAATAATGTGTGTATACATCTGCACTACTCACATCCGTTCTCACCCATGTCATCATCTAGACTCTCCAACCACTTGTTCCTCTCCTCCCGTGGACCCCGACCACCTAGTCTGCATAGCCTCACATGGCTCAAACCAACAGTCAAACACTTCATACATTGGTGCCATGTTTCAGTATGACCACCTTCAGTCTTTTTCCAGCCTCGACATACTTCAGTCAACATTGTGTGACGAGGTAGACAACGACTGGACATACCTAACACATCTCCCAAACATCTCAGTCCATGGAGGTTCACAACCATGTCAACTGACTTACCTCTTCTCCCTCCCTAAAACTCTACACCTACACCTGACTTTGTGTTACTCGCGTGGTGACACCACGGATATGAGCCTATACTACGAAGACATCGGTGGTCAAACACTTGAAGCCTTCTGATATCTTCCACCTTCAATGGCCATGTTTCACAGCCATACAGTAGAACAGAGCGGACTGCTGTGCAGTACACGCGACCCTTAATAGACAAACGAATATCACGGCGGCGCCATAGGTGGCGCAAATTGGCAAAAGCCAATCGAGCCTTTTGTATCCGTGCAGAAATCTCATCGGCAACTAACCCACCAGGGTTGATCCTACTTCCCAGGTAAGTGAAGTGGTCAACACACTCAACCACTTCACTCTCTATTGTTAACCGCGGTACCGCTGAAGACCAGTCCTGGAGCAAAAATTTGCATTTGGGTGGTGAAAATCGCATCCCAAACATTCTCAAATTCCCACTCAAAGTGTTCAGAAGACTCTGCATCTTGTCAGCGTCTTCACCTAACAGGACTATGTCATCTGCATATTCTAGATCTAAAGAAAATTCACCTGTGATTGGGTCAACGTCTGTGTAATTAGGTGACGAGAGGGAAACCTCCATAAGAATATCTATGATAAAATTAAATAAGAATGGGGATAGTGGGCATCCTTGACGGACACCACTTGATGAGTATAGCTCCCTGGACAACTCACCATAGGCTCTAACATGCCCACAAGTGTTCGAGTAGAGAGCTTTCAATAAGGTGATGTACTTACTAGGCACGCCTTTCAGTGACAGACATTGCCATAAGACTTCTCGATCAACGGAGTCAAATGCCGCCTTCAGGTCGAGAAATACAGCTATTGTCGGGCGTCTGTAAGCATGCCTATGTTCCAGGACCTGGCGCAGTGTGAATATTTGGTCGATACATCCACGGCCAGGTCTAAAGCCTGCCTGGTTTTCTCGGGCTTGCTGTTCCCGAGCTCCACTCAGGCGTCGGAGAATTATAGAACTTAGGATCTTAGACACTATGTTTGTCAGGCTGATTCCTCTGTGGTTATCACAAGAGGACTTCTCGCCTTTCTTGAAGACTGGGATGATGAGTGACTTAGACCAGTCGGAGGGGATCGTATTTGATTCCCATATACTGGCTAACACTTCCGTTAACCTGACTAAGAGCACTCTACCACCATTCTTGTATACCTCAGCAGGTAGTCCGTCTGGTCCTGCTGCCCTTCCTCGTTTCAGGCTACCTACCGCTTTCTCAACTTCTAGTGTTGGGGGACCTGTCTCTATGTCCCATTCAGGGTCCGACTGGATAGCGGGCAGCGCAATGGTGGCTGGAGGCCAGTTAAACTGTTCCTCGAAATGTTCTGCCCATCGTCCCAGTCGTCTCCCCTGCGAGTGAATCGCAGATCCGTCCTTCTCCGCTATAGCCTCACTAACTGTTGTTGACCATTTCCCCCCAGTCTCCTTAATAAGTCTAAATAACTGTCTACTGTTACCGATCGCCGCTGCCTTTTCCATCTCTTTAGCCTTCGCTGCCCACCACTGTTCACGATCGTTGCGCAGACTTTTCGTCAGTCTATTTTTAAGTTGCGCTCGCTCTTCATTGTACTCAGAGCCTGCAGGGATGCATTCACGTGCATCCATTAGTTTGGAAGAAGCTGCTGATATCCACTGGCTCTTTTTAGCCATTATTTTGAAGTCGGCTACAGTCTTCAGTGCTGCTTTTACAGCAGACTGAAGATGGCACCAAGCTTCTTCTGGATGAGTGACAGTCTTTTGTTCCGATAACTGCCTAGCCAACTTCTCACTGAACACGGCTTTGGTGTTTTCGTTGTCCAGCAGAACTCGTAGTGGTTTTGTTGCCAAATTTTTTCTACGTCCATTGAGACGCAGGCATATACGTGCTCGGACCAACGCATGATCGCTGTCCAAACACGTACTCCAGAAGGAGCGGCAGTCTTCCACCGATCCTCTCCAGCGATGACTAATAGCAATGTGGTCTATCTGTGTCCATCGCTGAGTCGAGCTCGGTGGACGCCAGGTCAGACAGTGCCTTTCTTTATGTCTGAAATTTGTGCTGGCTAAAAATAGGCGGTTATCTGAGCATAGTTGTAATAGGCGATCACCGTTATCTGTACGTTCAGCTGGGATTCCGAAAGTGCCACCTAAGTGCCTTTCTGCCTCACTCAGTCTACCCACCTGTGCGTTGAGGTCACCTGCAACAACCACTACGTCCGAACGTTTGGCTTTCGAGAGGAGGTTAGACAGTTTATGGTAGAACTCGTCCTTCACTTCATCCGAACTACAGTCAGTGGGTGCGTAAGCAGAGATTACAAAGAGACAACGGCGAGTCTCACTATTCCTTTTAGTTCTCACTGTGCCGTTCAGCCTCATAGCGCAGAGGCGACTATCAACTGGGATCCAGTCTAGTAGTGAGTTTTCTGCCCTGGTGCTTAATGCTATACCTACACCTGCAAGACCACGAGAGCTAGCTATCGAATCTCCAGAAACTCGAAGGGTGAATTTTGCAGATTCACCAGATTGGTCAGGAGAGGTCAGGTGAATAACCACACTTGGGTCCTGTATGCGTGTCTCACAAACACAGCACACATCCATGCCCGAGTTGCTAGAGTCTTTGCCAACGAAGCCTGTTGGCCAATTTGACGGAGGGTGCGGACATTGAAGGCTCCAATATGTAATTTGGAGCGTGGTTTAAGGAGACCAGGGATGCTGTTCTGTGGACTCAGATCGTTGTCGAAGGCTGCAGAGGTAGGAGAAATTGAAGATGATGCAGCATCATTAATTAAGAGACGTGAAGGAAGATTAGAAGGTAATGATGGAGGAGGAGGATAGCAGTCAGAAGAAACTTGGGTGCTGACAGAGTTGTGAGGGCGGTTGACACTTCCCGGCTGCCCACACCGTGGAAGGCTATTTCTTCTTAAGGTACCTGAAAGAGATTTGTGTGACCGCAGAGCCCATCGGACATCTGCTTGAGGCCTGTCACACCCAGCCTTTTGAGTATGATTATTTGAACTTTTGTATTTTTGGGGCCGGATGGTCGAAAGGAAACGACAAGTGAACCAACACCGCCGGCCCGGCAGACCGTGGGGCGTGGTGGAGTGTGTTATTTTTGGGGCCGACCTTTTCTAACCCCCCCTTCCACTGAGAAGGCAGCATCAGCATGGCACTGCTGGTCATCCAAGGGAAACACCTTACTGCTGTCACACCCCATCCAGCTAGCAGCAGTACGACTTCGCCCTCAGACCCCCATCATAGTGTAGCAATTTACACTACAACGGTAACTGCTTTTCGTCTAACCACTATCTAACAGACCTTTGTGGTATGGTAGGACCTCGAGGGCACAAGCGTTCCATCAGCATAGCTTGTTGGGTCATTGTGATATGCATGCCCGACCACCACATCAAGGTAGCAGCCATCGGTCGGGCTTTAGCGATATCTTTTTTATATTTTGACTAACTCACTGACTTTTTCATTTTGTAAGGATGTTTGGGAAGAATTGTACCAACAGCAATTAGTTGGTGCTCATACTGGACTATGGAAATTGCCTCGAGTTATGGCGCATGCTATTGTTGACAAATTTGAAGCAGAACGCCTTAGGGCAATTCAACTACGCACGTGAGTATTCAGTTCTATTTCATCATTGTTGTTTTTCCTCCTTTATACAAGTGCATGTCAGATATGATAGCTAAATGCCTGTGTGTTGATTGTGAATGGTGTATTATGATAACTACTACTACTACCATTACTTTTATTATTACTATTATTGCGATCATTGTTATTGTTATTACTCACATGATTATTAATAATACTGCTTCTACTGTTGTTATTACTACTTAAATTATTATCACTTATATTATTGTTACCATTATCGTTACCTACCATTATCATGTTGGTCCCTATTATTATCATTATTATTATTATTATTATTACTATTATTATAGGTATCCTGGCTGCAGAGTTATAGATAAGTATGAAGATGTGACTGCAAATAGTGTGTAGTTTGTTGACATATTTTAAAGTCACCTTAGGTAACGTTTGTACTTGGTGATAATAGGTCTCTATTTTCGCTAACCGTTTAAATTACTTTACATTAGCTTATGTCCAACAGCTTGCATGATATTGTCTGCTGTAGAGTTAATGTGTAAACCTTAATTTAGAACTCCTATACGTAAATGTTGCTAAATTCTATGAATCCATTTTGCAGTCTTATCAATAACAACAGATAATTTCAGGAATTTTTTTTTGTCTTTTCAATTTATATTTACATAACAGGGAGCTCAAAGTTGAGATTCAGTAATATAATTTTATTAGCTAGTAAATAATACATCGGTGTATTTATGATAAAACTTGAAATTTTCATTGGTAAAGTAAATACTTTTAAACAAAACACAGCTGTTGCTATACAATAAAACTGAACTAAGGTACCTCTATTATTGAATAAGATATAATAATAATATAGTGCAATCCAGGTCTGTTTGTTATGTAGGGAAGAATCCTCCTAGTTGACTATCCAGATCACAGTAGTCAGAAATTAGTATTAATCTTCTGCACTCATTGATTGAGATTCGAACACTCCTAATTTATTGGTAAAGGTATTTGACTTGTAAGCATAAGATCGTGGGTTTCAACCCATCTCGCCTGTTTATTCGTTTTAGGCATCTGAGTTATTTATGTAATTAGCCGTAACATGATCGCTACTAGAGACCTGTATGACTTACGGCTTGACTAGTCAGGGTGTTACACATGTACACACACATAGGTCAGTTACCACCATATATATGTTATATCAGTAGAAACGTAGGAAGCGTGAATCTTAGATAAGTCATTTTACCTATGACTTATTTGGTAATATGATTGAATACCTCAATTCCAGAGCTTTCGATCGACTTCTTATCCACTTATGTATGACATTGTTTAGAAGTAATTGCATGTTGTAGATTATCCCATTTTTTGTGCTTGGTATTGGTTTTTTCTTTTTTTGTAAATTATGGTGCATTGCAGTCAGGTAATCTAGGTTTACATACAGAAAAATTAGGTCGCCTGAACTATACACAGATAATGAGCTCAAGGTTTTGTGTTCTGTTGTAAATGATTGGGAGGGCCGGATTGCGTGACTCATCCTGAGGATAGATTGAGTATACTGGACTGGGGAAGTTCACCCAAGGTCAGTCACATGCAAGGTCAGGGTTGGGGCTGCGTCGATAGAATCATCTGATTTCAGGTTGGTATTTTATCACGCACTAACACCTGGGAGTACCGGGTAAGCTGTTTCTTCCTAATATGGGACTCCACAGCATGGTCCACCTATAACTTCGCCAGGGATCGGACCTAGAACCTATAGGTTCTGTGGCCAGCATCTTACCATTGAGCTACTGTGTTGAAATCCAGCCGTCCATATTTCATACTTTTGTAAATTCATGATATAGCTTGACCTCTATCCATTCTCGTCGTTGAGTAACTGTTCCCACTGGTTATGACTTCTCACTAGAACTTTGGGAATCTCATCTCAAAGCAAGTCATTAATGAACACCAGTGCAGTTCAAGGTTTGCGGTAATTTATTTATTTAGGTCAGTCTGTGGTTGAATACTAACCCAAAAGCAATAATATAAAGATCCCCAGAGATTTAGGAGAGGAATAATTTGAACGAACACTTGTCTTCAATAACTTTTTCAGACTCTGCAGTTATATAAATCCATGAGAACGAATGAAATACAATAGCCAAGATAAGGCGTAATATACAAATATTACTATATTGAAGCATTCAATGTTATGCGTGGTGAATGGAGATCAAATCGAATGGAATGGTAGAATGATAATCAGTCTAGCGTGTTAGTTGTGCAATGAAATCACTATTGACAGAACAGTTATGAAATGAGGTGAAAGAATCTGCAGATAAGGATTCATTTATAGTACACTTACTGTAGCATGAATGTGTATGTGTTTGTTTAACAAGGGTTAAGTAATAATTATGTAGTGATGAATTATATTCAAATGGGGTGAAAATCATGTGAATGCTATAACGAAATAGAGAATAACAAACGTGAAGTGGTATGTCACGGTTGAAAATGACTATCGGTAGTGGTATGACCGTGGCATGACCACGAGGGCAAATACTCGACGATAACATTGGGTGATTGTCGCGCTATATCATGAACTGACAGCAGTTAGAAATATGGGCCAGTAGATTCCGACTCAGTGGCTCAATGATAACGTTGGTGGCCACGGAACCCGAAGGTCGCGGGTTCGATACCTGGAGAGGACGTGGATGGGCACTGCCAAAGAATCCCATACTAAGTCGAAACAATTGTCCAGTGCTCCTAGGTTTCCTTTGTTCCTCCAACTGATTTCAATCCATGATAAATACCAAGAAAGTGGTAGGAGGTTAAAATATGCATTTTGTGGTAGGTACGTTCATTCAAACGATCAAGAAGGGGACCAGATGTAGGTTCAGACTACTCGCTATCTAGTTCAAGGAACCTTCATAATCAAGTTGGAAGCCTTAAAGAAGTTTGTGATAGACCACAGTTCAAGCCAAACACCCAGAACACAAAATGAGGGACGAAACTACAAAGGACATCACGTCAGTCAATCATCAAGACAAAGTGGGAGATATTGAGCAACAACCCCGAAGAAACTTCCGTGGATGAACAATGGAACTCTTTGAAAGAGATGTGGAAAAAAACCTTAATAACTGTACTAAGAAAGAAGAAGAAGCAAGAGAAGGAATGGATCTCGACGGACACATGGAAGCTGATAGAGGAGGGAGAGGAAGACGGTGAAGTAGAAGGTGAACCAGTGCGGGGATGAACAACGAAAACAGAAACTGGATACAATGTATAAAACACTGGACACAGAATTGAAGAAGAGTGCGAGCAAAGACAAATGACACTTTCACGACATGTTGGCAAGTGAAGCAGAACAGGCTGCCGGCTGGTAGGAGAGACCTGACAACATTATATAAAAAAACCAAAATACTATCTGGTAAGAGATCAACACAGATGTGACCAATAAGAGATGGTCAAGGAAACCTAGTTACCAAAGTGGAGAAACAAAGGAAACGATGGGCTGACCATTTCAGAAAACTGTTGTACCGACCACCAGCATCACCATCTGCAACTCGTTCGGAAATACCACCAGCAGCCCAGCCACAGAATTACCAGTGAACACAAACCCTCCGACAAAAGCCGAAGTGATGTCCTGAACGCCGTGAAGGTGGTGAAACCCGGGAAGGCAGCAGGACCTGATGGAATCCTGCCAGAAGCACTGGAAACAGACACATAGACAACAGCGGACATTCACATCACTACTGCCGAAGGTTCGGAAGGGAAGGAAAGGTACCTTTCGATTGGAAGACAAACAAGGGAGACCTAAGTCTTTGTAAGAACTGGCGCAGAGTCGTACTCCATTCCTGTCCACCCCAGGTAAAATATTATGCCGAATCATCCTGGAGAGACTAAAAAATGCGCGGGACTTGAAATTACGACCTTAACAGGCTGGATTCACGAAGTACAAATCATGTGCGGACGAAATTGCAACGCTACGCTACGCATCATCGTAGAACAGAGCGTAGAATGACAGTTAACTTAACTTCATCGATTTTAAGAAGGCTTTCGACAGCGTCGACGAGAAGTAGTTTATCAGTCGCATTAACACTACGGAGTGCGATAAATCTTTATAAACCTCATGGAACAGCTATATGAAGAGGTCACATGCCGAGTCATCCACAATGGAAAGCTCAGTAATGCCTTTGAAGTGAAGACAGGAAGGTGTAAGACAAGGTTTCTGTCTACTATCACCGATGATCTTCCTGATTGTGGTGGACTGGAATATCCAGCAGACAACTGTGAAGAGCGTTAAGATGGGCATACGCTGTCTGACCGATGAAAAGAGCGTAGAAGATTTGAATTTCGCAGATGATTCATGTCGAATGTCTTGTCTCATAAACTCGAAGATCTACAGGCGAAGACTAACAAGTTGACAGAAGAGGCAGGGCAAAGGAGCGAAGACGGGACTTCAAGTGAGTGTCGAGAAGACGGAGGTGATGAAGATACTTAACCAACAACAACAACAAGCGCCGATGACTATTAACGGGATAAACCTAAGGGAGTAGTCTCTTAACCTACCTAGGCAGGTAGCATCGTTTCAACTACAGGCGGCACAGACAAGAATATCAAAGCCGGGATCGGAAAAGCAAGATAGGCTTTCAGTAATCCGAAGTCTCTGTGGAGATCTACTGCACTGCACTCATCATGAAGCCTGAACAACATCCGGATGTTCAACACGAATGTCAGTCAAGTCACTGATGCTATATGGTTCAGAAACTTGGCGCGTCACGAAAAGCATTTCCAAGAAACTACAGATATTCATCTACAGGTGCCGCCTACGCTCGATACTGAAGATCAGATCAGATGACCAGAATAATAAGAATAAGCATTAAAGAACTCTGGCTGGCTGATAACAAATCAGCCAAAAACCCATCGCCCAACAAATATGCAGAAGAAGGTGGAGATGGATTGGATTGGACATACACTGAGAAGACTGACGGGGTTCATCACACGACAGGCCACCCCGTCGGGTGGAATCCAAAGGGGAAACGACAAGTTGGGCGTCTGAGGCGAGGATGACATGGAGGAGATGGTGCGAGGAAAAAAAGGAAGGGTTGTAGGCAGTCGTGGAGCCAGGTTGAAAAGACTGTAGAGAAGAGAGTGAAATGGAGACGTGCTGCCGAAGTCCTATGTTCCACTAGGAAACCAAAGGACAAATAACAAATATTAATAATTACATTCAGAAGGTGTTAACCCTAGTGTGGGCCAAGGTAAACAAAGTGAGTGTACATATTTCTTTTGAACATATTGGTTAGGTTTTCTTGCGTTGATACCTACGGCTTCGACTGTGGATAAGATACATACTTGTCCTCTCCTTCAGTTGATTGCAAGGGACAAGATATATCATAGAAAAGGCATGATATACCTTGATCTTATGTCCGGTATCTACTAGATATGAGAGGACCGTAGTGTTGATGGACTTAGTCATTCCTTTCCCTAACCATCTGGTACATATTCACGAGCATGCATGGATCGAGTCTTTTGAGTATGACCTATGTTACTAACTCATAAATACAGATTGTAGTGGCCATCATTGGTAACCTATCCTTGATCCACTGCGTTAATAATGGTTTAGTTGAGAAGCTGACATAAAGTTTCGCTGCATGTAATATCCTTTCAACTGATCTACTTAATCTATGTCTTCAAATATCAGAAACAATATCAAAAGTTAATAAACAGACCTCCATAAACTTCAAAACAGAATCACATAAATGAGGCTAATATGACCAAGTGAATCTATAACAATATGTTATGATTCATTTCTACTTCTTATGAAATATCTTTCAACTTGATAATAATAATAATAATTTAAAACAGTTAGTCCCGTTTATAAACTTCGACAAAACAGTAAGAAGGCGTAAATTGTCTGAAGTGTGTAATGTATTCGAGTAACACATTTCAAATTATCTGATCAAACAGGTACTTGTCATAGGGATTTATATGAAAATTCATGAAGATATGAGGTGAGAAAATGTAAAGAGGTCAAGTAGGAAAGCTGAATAACAATGAAAATCCATAGAGTGAAAATAATAATACATTGACCTTGGTTTTTATTGTTGAATTTACCAAGGAAGATTTAATGTAATAGCAAATTGTTTACGAACACATAAAGGTGGTTTGAACTTTCTAATAGTTAAGGCCTCAACAAATTTAAGGATCCCACCCCAACACGTTTTATGAGTGTGAAAGAAGTAGCCACATCAATCCTGTGACCTGTTTCAACGATATGTTTCGCGGTTGAAGAACTTGGACATCTGCTACCAATGTTTTATGGGTTCAGGTGATTTAATTAGCTTCTGAAGCTACTTTAGAATATGTTCCGAGGCCCTTACTTTCATGGATCTATGAGTTTTCTCTGTGTATGTGTCACCGCACGTACATTTGAATTGGTAGATGCAATAGGATGTGACATTGTCTTTCATATGCTGTGGGGGTTTTGGGGGAATATATGGGTTTGATGGTTTCTATTAATCGAACCCTGGCTGCATAGTAAGCCCTTCTAATAGTAGCCTTAAATCTGTGGTTAAGGATTGCACTAGAAGAGTTACTTCTTTACGGAAGACTGATAAAGGCATCCTTCTTTGGGACTGACTGAAGATCTGGTTTTGGCGCTCTGTTTATTTTGTGGTGCCTAATAAAGTTTGATTTTCCAACAATACTTCAGTCATTGTTCCTCTTTCGTCTTTCAAAGTATCCTCTGTGGATATTCGTTGAATTCTACTGAATATACACCTCACTAACGCTCACTGAACTGAACAAAAGCCATGATAGTTCAATTATTGCCCTGTCCATGTAGGTTTTCTATAGATAGATCGTTTTATGTACCCATCCTGCCTCCGACTAATTAATATATTCAAGAATGGCAAGCAGTCATCTTTCTCTTCTACGCTTGTCAAGGATATACTGTTCTGTACTTCGTTCAATCGCTTTAGAACTGAAGTGAACTGACTTGAGTTTTCACAAATAATCAGAAAATTGTCAACATATCTTCGATATATGAAGGCTTGGTCTATTAGGTTCTTGGCTAAGGTTTCCACGTATGACATAAATATGTCAGTTAAAAGGAGACCTAAAGGACTTCTCATAGCAACGCCATCAATCTGGCGGAAATGTTCGGCCTCAAATGTGAATTTAATATTACCTATACATAAAAGTAGCAGCTCTTTTAAATGATCCAAAGAGATGTATGGGTATTATATCTCCCTTGGTAAATTCAACAATAAAAACCAAGGTCAATGTATTATTATTTTCACTCTATGGATTTTCATTGTTATTCAGCTTTCCTACTTGACCTCTTTACATTTTCTCACCTCATATCTTCATGAATTTTCATATAAATCCCTATGACAAGTACCTGTTTGATCAGATAATTTGAAATGTGTTACTCGAATACATTACACACTTCAGACAATTTACGCCTTCTTACTGCTTTGTCGAATAATAATAATAATAATAATAATAATAATAATGATTTGAGGATTTTTCGCGCTTCCTTCTTGATACAATTTTTCAAACAGAACACTTGATCAACTGATCAATGAAGCTATCAATGCAAATATTCTAGTGAAACAGTGAAACAGGAGTAAAATTGAGGAAAAATAACTCACAAGTGTGTTATCTATTTTCTTGTTATTATCCATCAATTAATTTTTTCAAAATCTTGAATATGTTCATTATTTTCACATTAATCATGTGCTTTCTATATGTACACTTCTTAAGTGTTATTATTATTATTATTACGTTTTGTTTTGTAATGTTGAAAGACGTTGGTTTTTTTTGAAGTTATTGGGTATTTATAACTTGAAGGTGAATATTTTTGTCGGTTGTTCTTTGTGATATTAACTATCATTTCGTTGGAGAAGAAATTCTGTGATTCCCTTAGGATACTGTCTCATTAAAATTTCTTAGTGTCAGTTTTACGCAACATAATCATCATCTGAACGTATATTTTCAAACTTTGAGATGTCTTTCTTGTAAATTGTATCTTTACAGACACAGCCATTGAGAAGGTATCGTTTTCTTTGAATGCATTAAGCCATAACCTAGCAGCTTAAGGCACTTGTCATATTTGAGACTATGCTGTAACCCCCAATTTCATGTTAACACCTAATTTGTGAAGTATTTGGGCGCGTTGACTTATGTTCTTCTTGTAGAAAGTGTATCGTCCTCCAAGACAAGACTTGATGTGTATGATAAAGGTCAGTCTGGTATTTGTCAAAAGGCACGTGTATACTACGGCGATCTCGTCTATCCTTCCCGACGAACATGATTCATAGCTCCTAAGGACTGGAAGACTTGAAATGTATACAAATAGTCTGAAGTATATTCTTTCAAGACATTGTTGGTTCGTAATAGAACCGCTGAGTGAACTATTTTGACGTCAAGCTCGGTGTTCCAGACTGTGAAGGTAAGTCAACTCGGAAGTGTATTAGCCTACATCGATTGCGGTGGATGAAAATGACTTTAGTGTAGATGTCTAACGTATTGAGAGACAGTTTCTCATTATCTTTGCTTTAAAACTATGTATGCCATTACTTATTATTATTTGTCCCTTGGGTTCCTAGTGGAAAATACAGTTTCAGTAGCACGCCTCCATCGCACTCTGTTCTATGCAATCTTTTGAACCTGGTGCCTCGTCTGCCCAGAAGCTTTCATTTCTTCCTCAGATGACCTCTTCTAAGTCACCCTCAGACCCCCAATTCGTCGTTTTCCCCTTGGATTCCAGTCGAGGGCGTGGCCTAGAGCGTGATGTCCTCAATCGGTCTTCTCAGTGTATTTCAATCTAATCCATCTCCACTTTGTTCTGCATATTTGTTGGGCGATAGGTTTTTGGTTGGTTGGTTACCAGCCAGACTTCCTCCCTGCTTATTCTTATTATTCTGGTCATCTGATCTGATCTTCAGTATTGAGTAAGGGTAGGCGGGAGCTGTAGATGAATATCTGTAGTTTCTTGGAAATGCTTTTCGTGAGGCACCAAGTTTCTGAACCATATAGCATCACTGACATTCGTGTTGAAAATCGGGATGTTGTTCACGCTTTATGCTGAGTGCAGTAGGTCTCCACAGTGATTTCAGCTTGATGAAAGATACTTAGTATTAGTATGCGATTAACAGAAAACCACTCATTTTACTTGAGTATAACCGTGGTATCAATTTAAAGAGCTGCGGATAGAGGAAGTGAAATCTCATGAAGTAGTTGGGCTGGCTAACATCATTTAATCAGTCGGTCAAGAACTTGTGTTCAAGATTGCTAAAAGATTTTCTTTTGAGTATCTATGAAGGTTTTATTAATTATTTTGAACCTGCTAAAGATCGAATACTGTTGTTAATGTACCACATGGCTGTTCCTTTATCGTAAAAAATACTTTTCATCAGATGTTAGTGGTGAATTAGGCCGCACGTGAGGTCAATTTGTCTACAGTATTTTATTTACCCAAGTAAAGAATTTTCGAAAAAGCTTCGGATAGTGATGTATACAGCCTTAGAAACCAAAAACTACCTTTTAGTGGTAAATAACTTTGCTTATGCTGTATAGATATGGATAGTTGTAATAAAATGGAAATGACTATGAGATGAATGCAGTAAAGGTTAGAGTAAAAGTTGTATCTGATGATACCTGTTAACACAAGCTGACCACCAAATCTGCTATTCTATCAATTGCCTACGACGGATTATTGTGTTATCTATCACCAACTTACTTCACATATGGCTTCGATGATATATCCGATTGCTTTTTAAGGGTCAACTGTACTACGAACCGATGGGTAGCGCAGATGTTCTGCTAGAGTATTAGGTATAATTGAAGAGGTTGTTAAACTTTATTGACTGAGTTGTAGCTAGGGCATGTGTAACCCGCGCCTAGTTACCAACTTTTCACTGTTAGCCGAAATAGGATTAGTTTGGAAGAAGGTTAAAGGTGGTCAGACCAAACATGAAATTACTTCATGAAGTCTGACTATTTATCTGAGCCGTGTAGACCGTGTTTGTGATTTATGTGACAACCGAAACCAATGGTGATGATGTCTTTCAAGATCTATCATAGTCGTGCAGGTGCTTGTATACTTCATCTCTATCCAAACCACTGCATCATATTACATTGTTCGCCTTAATGCCCCTACCTCTTAAAGCTGTTCATGACTTTTGATCAAATTGCTTCTATTTCTTTGTCTTCCATTCTGTTCCCTAGTGTCCGTTGTACAGTAATGCCATCTATGTTGATACTTAGTGGATAATTGCTTGATTCCACTTAGTTATTTATCAAAGTACTCGTTTCTGAGAGTTAGAGGCATGCTAATGATGACCTACCGTCAGCTAATTGTATTATATTACTCATACTGATTACATAATTGTCCAAGCCAGTCTAATCATTATCTGAGTATGCTGACGACTGTATGGCATGCACTCTTTCTTAAATTTTCTTATGTTTCTAAATGGAGCTGATTTCCCGTGCATAGTACAATAATCATGCCTGTAAGTAAGTCATCGATTGATACTGGTTTAAGTCTTTGAGAAACGTTTTTCATGAAATGGTAGTCTTACTTTATCAATGAACTCTGACAATCATCAGAAGTGGCATAACCAAAACATCCTGTCAACTGTGTCAAATCATCCCAGATATTGTCAATGTTCTATGATAGTGGAGAAATCAATAACCTCATGAAAGTGTTGCTTGCAATTATAAAAATAAGTCATATTTGGTCACATTCTATTGGGATTTATCTTGAATAAAACATTTTCAGCCATATGAAACATTACTATTTTAAGAATAGCAAATAGTTGAGTAGTCTCAAAATATTCAATCAATGTCTTGATAGCATCAAGTACAAAATTGTTGTGATAAGGATTGTCCACATTGTATTCCATTTCGTCTGATAAATTGGTGAAGCTGAAGATTCCAAAAGGTGGACGAATTCCGTGTAAAAATAAAACAAGAAATAGTATTCAATAATAATGAAGTGAACGAGTATCAGTAATAACACATAAGTGAAGTTGAATTTTGAGGAAGTTGTGGGGATTTGGAAATATTTCAAGTTGTTATTCATCGTAGACTGACATCAGTTGGAGGAACAAAGGAAACCTGGAAGCACTGGACAGGTATATCATGAGCTAACAGAAGTGGGAAATATGGAGCATTAGGTTCTGACCCAGTGGCTCAAAGGTAACGTGCTGGCCACGGAACCTGAAGGTCATGGGGTTCGATCCCTGGCAGGGTCGCGGGTGCGCACTGCTGAGGGGTCCCATACTAGGACGGAACAGCTGTCCAGTGCTCCCAGGTTTCCTTTGTTCCTCTCCAACTGATGTCAGTCTACGATTAATAACAACTCGAAAAATAGGGGGAGTACATTTCTTTCGATGACCTTGATTGCTTGGTAGTTAACTCCATTGAACGACTTGGTGACCAATCACGTAAATGCAAATGAAGATCGAAAAAATCAATTTCTTGTATGTTTATTATTTAATTATTTGTCCCTTGGGTTCCTAGCGAAACGTAAGGCTTAAGTGGCACATCTCTAATGCGCTCTGTTCTCTGAATTATTTTCAACCTGGCTCCACGACAGCCCACAATCTCTCATTTCCTCCTCGCACGATCTCCGCCATGTCACCCCCCGCCCAACTCGTCACTTCCTATCGGGGTTCCACTCGATGGCCTGACACATGATGTCCCCAGTCGGCGTTCTCTGTGTATGCCCAATCCAATCCATATCCACTTCCTTCTGCGTATTTGTTGAGCGATAGGTTCTTGGGTGGTTCGTTCCCTGAGTTCCTTGTCACTGATTCTTTCTGGCCATCTGATCTTCAGTAACGAGCCAGCGTAGGCAGTTGTTGATGAATGTCTATAGTTTGTTGAAAATGCCTTTCGTAACGCGCCAAGTCTCTCACCCATCACATAGAAGCACTGTCTTGACGTTGGTGTTGAAAATTCGGATCTTGTTCCACATGCTGAGTGCAGTGCAGTAGATCTCCACACTAGTTTCAGGCTAATGAACGACTGTCTTGCTGTTTCCGATTCTGGCTTTGACGTCCTCGTCTGTACCTGTGCCGCCTGTAGTTGAAACAATGCTGCCTAGATAGGTGAAAGGCTACTTCCTTTAGGTTTCTCCCACTGATGGTGATTGGAGCTTCCTGTTGATGTTGTTGGTTGGGTATCTTCATCACCCCTGTCCTCTCTATATTCACTTGAAGTCCCTTCTTCGCTGCCATGCCCCTTCTGTCAACTTGTTAGTTTTTGTCTGTAGCTCTTCGAGTTTGTGCAAGTCATCGGCGAAATCGAAGTCTTCTAGGCTCTTTTCTGCGGTCAGGCGTATCATCCTCTTCTCGCTCCTCGCTGTTTGTTGCGTTATCCTGTCGACTACAAATATATTTACTGTTTACATCATTGTCTATCTCACCTAATATCTTAACTTGATCGTAAACTACTAATCCTACTTTGTCACTCAGTCACACACACATTTAGGAAAATAAATGAGTTAAGTTTTTGAAGCAATAGTCGAATTTCCAGTTTGTGAACAGTATTTTAGTTATGAATTGAAGTAGAATAAGGTAATAGAGAAATCAGATATTATTTTATCAGCTGAC